GTATGGTGTGGATGCTGTGTTGGTTGCCATTGATCGTGGTACTTAAAGCAAAGGGGAAACCCCACCTGTATCTGATGTTCCTCATCCTCAGCTGGTCTGTGATAGGTTTCAATGATCTTCTGGCTTGAAGTGTAAGCCATGAGAGGTCTGGGTATATACTGATTGGGTCACTATGAAATAATAACGGCTGGTTGGAGTTCCGTAGTGCTGCCAGAATATCTTCTTTGCACCTGTAATAGTGTAATCTGCATATTACATCTCTAGGCCTGTCGGTGTTCAGGCTCCTAGGACGCAGGGCTCTATGGGCTCTGTCAAATATTATGGTAGAGTCAGGCGCTCTGTCAAGGATTAGGTTAAATAGCTCAGTGAGCACTGCTATAATGTCTTCCTTGTCATTTTCAGGGATGCCTCTCACTCTCAGATTATTCCTCCTTCCCCTATTATCTAGATCATCTAGGGAACGTTGTATCTCTGTGAGCTGGGTTGTGTGGGCTTTCATATTGTCTTGGAGGGATTGTATTTGTGTTTGGGTGACATCCCTTTCATCTTCCAGTGACCCAATCCTGTCCCCCATGTGGCGCATGTCTGCCCCTAAGGCGTCTAGTTTGCTTTGGAAGGACATCTCCAACTTACCCAGCATGTTCGCCAGGTCTTGTTTGGACGGCATGTTGCGGAGGAGGTCCTTAATTTCAGTGTCCCCGGTCGCCCCGGACATTTCTGAGCCTGCTGGGCTGGATGGCTGGGAGTTGTGGTAAGGTGAGTCCGGCGCCATGTTTGGGCCTATACCGCCCGGCTGGAGTTCCGCATTGTCGCGGAAATACTTGGTGAGGGCCCCCGGTTTCCCCGCCGGCTGCTTACCGGAGGGGTGAGGGGTAGATGCTGCTCTCTTTGGGTGTCCCATCGTTGTTTTAATCGCCCGATGCCCGCGGATTCACTCCTTCATGAGAGGAGCTTGTTTATCTTGCGGCCATTCCGTTCCGTGGTTGGCTCCGCCCCTCTACATATATCTATTTATCTGTTATTATTTGATAAGTAGAATTGTTTGTTTGCATGTATAGATGTAACAGACTGGCTGGCTGTTAGGTGCCAGGAGAATTTCGGTTGGTGTCCTTTTTTCTTAAAATTTTACAATCCCCAAATACTTATTGCACCATACTAATGACAGTGGTTATGGTGCTTAGAGTTCACATCTAGAACACTATACATCATTGCTATTTATGGAGTAGACACATTTACACACACACACCAACAACAGACAAGTTTAACAATTTTTCTGCTTTGAACAATGACAAAAGCTTTTCAATTTTGTTATGCTAAATGTTAGACCTTTGCTAAGCAATAACTGAATGTGTACGTAAGTGCCCAAGACAATGTGGAATGAAAAGACCTAGGACTATATAGAATGAATAAACTATATAGAATGTACAGGCCTGTGATAATATAATAAATCACTCAGGAGAGTGAATAAACTGCATTGAATGACTATACCATGTCACGATTCCGGAACCTAACACGCTAACAGGTCACAGAGAGGAAGGGTGCTATACCAGTCCTTAGAGTGGCCGGGCTAAGCACGCTAAGAATGGTCAGGAGACAAGCCAAGTAAAGGGAGCCAGAAAACGGGAGAACGAGAAACAAGCCGAGGTCAAAGGAATGGAGAAGACAGGATAATCGGAATAACGAGCCAAATAATTGGAAACCAGAGAGCAACACGAGAGAACAGCACTACAGGTATCATAAGACCACAACAGGGCACTGAAAGACAGGAAAAGTATAAATACCCTTAGTTTAATTCTGATTGGATAACTTCCAATCAGAATTAACAATCACATGTGGGGGATATCTACGCCTCCCACTGTGATTGTGGTACTGTTTCTTTAACGCCGGGTCACTCACGTGACCCCAGCGTTTGCATAAATCAGCGAGCTCCCAGCGTGCAGCGTTATACATGCTGCCGCTGGGAGGCGTGAAGGACGCAAGTGGCGAGCGGCGGAGAGGAGACGCCGCTCGCCGACAGGTAAGAGGAGGGGAGACCGCGGGCGGCGATGGACTGAGGGAGAGTGCTGCAAGTGGCGTGCAGCCTCCCCTCCTAGCCGCCCGTGGACCCCTGACATACCATAAACTACATAGAAGGGACAGACTTATAACAAAGCACTCCTTATATATGTACGAGTGAAATCTAGGAGGCCTTCAGAAAGTTTTGTTAGTACGTTTCTTCCACCATCTAACTTGTGTACACATTCAAACAGAACGTTAAAAAAATTCTGTATTTTTCCGTAACAGCATTGGACAATGAACACACACACACATACACATACATAGGCCTTCATGATAACACTGAAAAGTGCTGTTAAAGGGACACTATAGTCACCAGAACAACTACAGCTTATTTAATTTGTTCTGGTGAGTAGAATCATTACCTTCAGGCTTTTTGCGGTAAACACTGTATTTTCAGAGAAAATGCAGTGTTTACATTACAGCCTAGTGATAATTTCACTGGCCACTCTTCAGATGGCTGTTAGAGATCCTTCCTGGATCATGGCTGCCTAAAATGCATCCAAACATTCAGTATCTCCTCCCTCTGCATGCAGACACTGAACTTTCCTCATAGAGATTCATTGATTCAATTCATCTCTATGAGGAGATGCTGATTGGCCAGGGCTGTGTTTGAATCATGCTGGCTCTGCCCCTGATCTTCCTCTTTGTCAGTCTCAGCCAATCCTATGGGGAAGCACTGTGATTGGATCAGGCTACCACTTCTGATGATGTCAGCAGACTGCTTGTTTTTTTTTGTGTTTTTTTTGTTTTTGAGGCAAACAGCATGCAGAGTTACAGCTTCAGGCTTGCATACAGTAAGATTTTGCTATATTTATGGAGGCATGAGGGGCCCACGGGGGCTAGATGGTGGGGGCTATAGGGTCAGGAATACATGTTTGTGTTCCTGACCCTAAAGTGATCCTTTAAAGTCTGTTCTATAAAAATAATAGTGTAACACACACATACATATGCACAGAGCAGTACCCGGTATTCCTGTATTAGATTCAAGCTGTGGTAAGTAAGAATAACAAAAGTATTTACCCAGGAAAGGTATATTCCGATTGCTCTGGTTTCAAAGTATGTACTTGGGAATGTTACGATTACCCAATATCCAGGGGATCCGCCGATACAATATAGTATTGTTATTTACATTTAGAGGATATTGTTTTAAACACATCTCTCTTTTCCCTTCATCTTACAGGCAGTACAAAGCTCCATTTTGAAATCCTGGTAGATTTGAGGTCATTCCGACTCCTTTTCAGCGCAGTGAGATTGTATTAACTGGTGTTGACACTGGAGCTCCGGGGCAGCATATATTATCCTAAACTGCAAAATTAAACAAAAAATAAATAAAACCCTACCACGTCTTCATATAATAAGAGAAACTCACAAATCCCCCCTGTGGACCGGAAATCCATTAAACTTGTACTTTATCATAATTACCCTTTTACGGTGAAGTGCACAGAATATTAATGCATCGTTAGCTCAGTGGGATACGGCAGAATGTCCCTGTTTAAAACGACACTGAATTGAATAAGAAAGCAGAGTATTGTTGTGGATTTCAGGATCTTCTACAAAACCCAAACAAACAAAAAAACAGGGATGTTCCCATTTGAAATGGTTCCAAACATTCAGTACATCAAAGCAGTTACCCGTCTCCTTCTAATCGATCAGGAGAATGTATCCCATACACTACATGGCCCCAGACTGCACCCATTGATAAAATGTATCGATTCACAAATAATTGCTTAAATTACTCGTAACCCATGAGACTGCTGGAATGAAAATAATGTATTTTCATAGACAATATCCTGATTTTTATTTATTTTTACTAGTTTTTTAGTTTATGTTAGATACCAAATGGTATTATGTAAGAAGATGGGAGGGTATCCTGTGAGCATTCCCATCAACTACTTGTACTGCCACGGTTTCGATTGGACACCAAACATCTCTACCACATATGCCCGTTTGTTGTCTACCTTTGTTAGAACAATGGTTGTAGTATATTTTACTTAATGTTGTACCAACTCTAAATTGTAATTCTGCAAAAAAGCGCTTTTTAAAAGCTGCCTAAATCGCCTTGGGGAAGACTAACAAGTAGGAAGGGGGCCTGGCGGCTTGCCCATTATGCCGCTGGATGCAAGGCCTTTCCCTCAGTTTGCCCTGAGAGAGCCAAGCACAGCCTTCTATCTGCTGCTCTGCCAGGTGCAGAGCTGCACACTGAAGTGTCTCGCGATCTCCAGCCAATCAGAGCATTGCCGCGGGTTACCATGGCAACGCTCCAACTCTGCTGGAGATCGCGAGACACTTACAATGTGGCCTGCAACTCTGCACCCGGCGGAGCTGCAGACCGGATAAACAGACCACTGGACCACCAGGGAAAGCTGCCCACTGGACCACAGGGAAATGGATTAGGAAAAAATTAAAAATAAATAAAATAAGATTTCTGACACCCACAACCCCCTCTATACTATACAACCTCCCTCCTCCACACACTATACAACCCTCCTCCCCTCTCCTCCACACTATACAACCCCCTCCCCTCCTCCCTCCACACTATACAACCCCTCCCTCTCCTCCACACTATACAACTCCCTCCCCTCTCCCTCCACACTATACAACTCCTCCCCTCCTCCACACTATACAACTCCCTCCCTCCTCCACACTATACAACCCCTCCCTCCTCCACACTATACAACTCCCTCCCCCTCTCCTCCACACTCATACAACCTCCCCCTCTCCTCCACACTATACAACTCCCTCCCCTCCTCCTCCACACTATACACTCATACAACTCCCTCTCCCTCTCCTCCACACTATACAACTCCTCCCCCACACTATACAACTCCTCCCTCCACACTATACAACCCCCGCCTCCTCCACACTATACAACCCCCGCTCTCCACACTATATAACCCCCGTCTCCTCCACACTATATAATCCCCCATCTCCTCACACTGTCACCTCCCCTTCCACATGTCAATTCCCTTACCACAATGTCACCCCCATCCACACACTCTAACCCCAGACACCCCCCCTCTACACACACAGTCACCACCTTCACATACACACTGTCATCCCCTCCATGCACTGTAACCCTCCTTAACCCCCCTAATCCTGTCACACTCACCTTTTCTCACACTATCACACTCATCGGCTATCACCCAATCACACTCACTGTCACATTAAGCCCTCCAATCATGTTACACACATCCTGCACCTGCCATGCCACACTGACCCTGTGAAATAACCCCCTAATCCTGTCACTCTGTCATGCTCACCTCCCCTCATCCTGTAACACTCTCTCCTCCAACTGAGCCACACTCATCCCCAAGCCCAGTCAATCCCCCAACCCTGCCACACTCACCCTGTGACATTAACGCCTCTAATTCGGTCACACTCACACCCTCACTCACCCTGTTAATGAACCCCCCTTAATCCTGTCACATTCACCTCCCTTTGCCCTGTTACACTCACACGGTTATACTGACCCTTCAGCCATACCACATTCACCCCAACACTGTTTTACTGACCCTCCAACCACACCACATTCACCCTGTCACATTAACACCCTAATCCTGTCACACTTACCTCTCCTCACCCTGTAACACTCCCTCCTCCAACCATGTCACACTCGACCCAGTCTCATTCATTCCCTCGCCCTGTCACACTCACCGTCCCATAATTACCCCTTTACTCATCCTGTCAAAGTCACGCCTGAAGACAATCATACACACACAGTCCTAAAACATAGCTTCGCCATAAACACAGTACACAAAGCCACAGGCAGCCCTCCCATGTACATTTTTTTTTATACTGTACTTTTCAAAATAAACTTACGTTTCTATGAAAGTTGACGTTTTTGCGGCCCACATAAACTTAAACCTGGTTTATTTGGCCCGTGTTAGCCATTGAGTTTGACATGCTTGTTCTACATCTTTAAATTAAGGAGGGGTTACCTATACAGAGCCAGAAGCCTTAGATAACCATTAGCACTGAACACGGAGTATTCCATTTTTTGGTTAAATTCTACATTATTGTATATTGTTTATGTTTTTAAGGTACACATGAGGAAATCTTACTATTTTTTTTATTTTTTATCTTAAAGTGGGGACACTATGAATATGGCCCTGTGTGTGTTTTTATAAAACACGACTTAGTGTTATATAAGTGTTTCACTACTTATTTTTTTTTTTTTACTTAATATTATAATGTGATTTATTGATTTATTTTAAGATGAGAAGAATAATAAAGTCAGAAGATCAATTATATGGATACAAAATGTCTACTAATATTTTAGTTTTATAGTTTCATTTTTAATTTTGAGATTTACAGCTCCCATTTGAAAGTAAACTAGCGTCCGAAAGATCTCCTATGGAGCAGCGTTGGGTTGGCTGAGAAAGAGGCGCAGCTACCGCAGTGGGACCAGCGAGGTAGTAAAGGCAAGTCATACTCACCTCTTAAAACCTCACAGAGGTGGTGGTAGAAGCCAACATAAGTAAATACATTTAAATTCCTAATACTATAGTGTTCCTTTAATACTGATATTTTATGGTGGGTAATTTATGGGTAATTTCTGTGACACTGCGCACAAGTTAGGATTTAAAATAGGGGTGTCCAAAAAGCAGACTGCTCCAGATGTTATAGAACTACAACCCCCATAATACATTGCCAGACTTTAGCAAGGCAAAGCATCATGGAAGATGTAGTTTTAAAATATATGGGGGTCTACCTATCAGACTACCCTGATCTACAGAAACCAATGGCCAGGTATGAGGGAGATTTATCAAGGACCCCGGTAGTGTTTTTTCTAATGTTGAGAGATCTAATGGTTTCTAGATTGCTCCTTATTTTGCACTTTGCAACAGGAAAGCATCTATATTTGCTTTGATAAATCTCACCTTATAGCCTCGATTTAATAGTGATGGATAAGCTCTCCATATGATTGAAATATTTTTGGATAAACTTATATTTAAATATATCAAAAACATAAAAAAAAATTACAAAATGAAAATGTTTTCCATAATATTTAATTATTTAAAATATTTATCCAAAAATATTAAATCATTTGGAAAGATTCTGTGCAGTAGATGGCAAAGATAAGGAATCATAATTCGTAGACATAGACACATGCACACATTTAGACTTCCTGATATTTCCATTGTGTTTTCTTTTAAATAAAAGTTCATCAAAAATTAACATAATTGCTACTCTCAAAGTAATTAAGTGGGTTTTGGGTTTTTTTGTGTAAAGCAACATATGCTCATTCACAGACAGAACTTGGTGTGCAGAGTCAACAAAATGTTACTTGATAATTTCCTGGGCAGTTAAAGATTTAAAAAAAAAAAAAAGGAAAAATATAGAAAAATATATAGCCACAGTATAAAAAAATAAATAAAAAAAATGATAAGATCACTTAAGGCGTTTTACACCTAAAAGGCTCTTTCTCATAAGAAAACTTTTTTTTTGCTAAATGTGTTGACCAATTTTATTGGTTTATTTTTTCTTTTCAAACTGTGGCTTTTTTTTTTTGTTGGTGACAAAATCTATGGATATTTTTAAATCAAGAAAAATAACGATTTTGTATTTACTATATTTTTTGTTGTTGTCGCTGCTGTTGTCAGCATTCAAGTTAACTGGAGTAATTATCTGACTCCCCTAAAATAACAGGATTATTCATTAAAGTTTGAATCATCACCTTCGCTTGATATCACTTTCTCATTAGAAGCATGGCATAATTGTCATCTTGCTATGATTGTTCTCCGATTGAACTGCTATCACACAAAAATAAAGAATAAAAAAAAAAAGTTTGAATTACCAAGAATTCAGAAGGGAGTTTCAAATTCAGAATAAACAAATAGGAAAAATTCTAAAAAGAATCCGCACTCAATGCAGCAATTGTATCACTTTAAATTTTTACATGTAAAACGAGAACAAAAATTCCAACGCCATAAAAAGTCTAAAACTAGTCGTTCCGAAGAAAAAAAAAAAAAATATGATAAACAGTAACAGTATGGAATACACGTTTTACAATGCATACAAACTAGCCTCCGAAAGCTCTCCCATGGAGAAGCTTTGAGTTGGCTGAGATCATCAGAGAGGCAAAGGTACCGTAGTGGGACCAGCGAGGTAGTAAAGGTAAGTCATACTCACCTCTTAAAACCTCTCAGAGGTGGTGGTAGAAGCCAATATAAGTAAATACATTTGGATTCCTAAAATTATAGTGTTTCTTTAATACTGATATTTTATGGTGCCTCAATGGAATACTGGTATTTTTGTACACTTTTTTGCAATATTCTAGCATTTAAAAATAAACATTTTTAAAAAGTGATAAAATGTCTACATTTAGTGCAGATTGTCGCTAACTATTTCTGAGTTTCTGCATCTACACCTAAATACTCTTTTCAGTTGGCAGTGCAGTTTAGTATTTATTTTTTTCAGGAAAAACTGTAAGCCAGCTATGTTTCAAGAAAAAAACTGTACTGTTTAAAGAAAATAAATAAAATCATAATTTAAAAAAAAAAAAAGTTAGCTAATTTTCTGAAATAGATTGCATAGATAACTGTGTTCTGTCGCCACAAACAAGACTATTTACACAAAACAATTCAGACTGTTTGTTCTAAGTTTACTGCATGGAGCTTTATAGAATTAATTGTATTTACAACACAGGGAAAGAATTACAAAAAAAAACAAAAAAAAAAAACTTTATGTGCTTGACCGCTACTTTCTGAAGTATTAGAATAAAATGAACAGAAATGGAATCATAAATAGTACGGGTAGATATAGGAATGTTCATCTCAAGGTTTGGCATGTAACTGCGACTTAAAATCTGGCAGAGTACTGAGCATCTTACCAAAGTAATCAACGACTAGTTTTACCTTCATAACCTTCACAAAAGCAAAGCATACAGGTTTTAAAGGATAAATGAAGGCAAAAAAGCTACAAGTTCAGAATAGAAGTCCATCTCTATTCCAGTGGTTTTCTACACAGCCATCCAACGTTTGTCCAACGTCAAGAATTCTGTATCCAGGATGGGTAAAGAATGGATAATATACAAAATGGTGCACATATAATTTATAAATAATTTTAGCGGTCTGTCTATACATAGTACTTTGGAGCAGTGTAAATTCTGTAGTGGTCAGGATTAGAGCATTAAAAAAAAAAATATTCTGTGTCAAAAAAAACTTCCATTGGAAGTCTGCATTTCATTGGGATGAAATATATATATATATATATATATATATTTATATATATTTAGGAATTTTGATGAAGTTCAGAATGTTTGCAACTATTGAGAGTCTGAAATTTCTCTCGCAAACTCTTGACTCTCTTATGTTCACTCGTTTGCTCTTGCTTGTTTTCTCCATTTGATAAATCCAGGGCAAGTTCCACAGATTCATCGGATTTGTAGCTCTCCTCCCTACTTCTGTATTCTTCAGATTCCTGGTAGGCTTTGCACCGTTCAACTACTGCTTTAAGGGAGATTTTCTCTCTAGTGGTGGGTGATCTGATATGTACATATGTATCATCACTTTCCAGATCATGCGATGATGAATCTTTAGCCACGGGGAGTTTCTCAAACACAATAACTTTTTTGTTGTTCTCTAGTGGAGCTTCTGCACTGACATAGTAGCAGCTGCCCACATCTTGTCCAAAATGTCTTGTGTCTTCTAAAGTCTCAGTTTTCCCTTTAAAGTTGGGTGACAAAGGAGAATGTTCAACGTGAGCCAGTGGTTTGGTGGTTGAACCTGCTTCTTTAGGTTTACCGTCTGAGCTTTTTATGTTCATGCTGTAGGAGTGGGTGATACATTCTTTGTTTTGGGCATCCGATGCATCATCCACATTGTGTCCCATCATTTTCTCTGGCACAGAATGACTTCTGTTAACTGGACCATTTTTACCACTACCAGTTGTCTTTGTATACCTGGATCTCAGTTCTCGGACATCGGGCCAGTGGAATTTCTCCGTCTTGACTGGACTCAGAGGACTTCTGGGATCAGATCTTACTGGAGAAGTAATTCCCTGGTTATCAACAGAAGTAGAGAATGTGAGGCGTTTGGGAGATTTTTCTCTGAATGAGGCAGACGTTGGACTTGTAGGGCTGAGTTCGTGAAGTATAATGTGATCATAGGTTGGAAGGGACAACATAGGCTTTAGTTTACCTAAAAAAAACAAACACAAACCAAAAAAAAATAAAAAATTAGTCCAGGAACTAATTCACAACAAAACAGAGGAATTGATTAAAGTAATATGCAATAATCCAGTAACTTGTAATGCAGATGTAAATTATTACAGCCAGTTCCAGGTTAGCAGATAAATGTAGACAAGAGGCACTCAGGACAAATATCAGGAACAATTTTTCTTCCACTGCACTAAGTTTGTGATGTTTTTACTCTAACAATATCCCTTTAATGATAATGCATGACTGTAGATAGAAGGAAAATATAAAATAGAAATGGTAACTGATGTAGCAAAAAGCAGTCACATTTAAAATTAAAAAGATACTATAGGTATCAAAACATCTTTAGCTTAATGAAGCAGTTTGGTTTTATAGCTCATGTTCCTGCAATCTCACTTCTCAATTATCTGCCATTAAATTATATGTATTCGTTAAAATATATTTGTTTCTGTTGGTGCAGCCCTAGTTACACCTCTCCTGGCAGTGACCGACACAGACTGCATGAAAAGATGGCTTCATTTTCAATCAGATGTTGACTGACTTTAGAAGTAATTATCTCCTGCTCTGTAAATAGAACTTTAATCAAACACACAGGAGGTTCCTGCAGGGTCTAGAAGGCTATTAACAGAGCAGGAGATAACACATTCTAGATTACACAGACTGTGCAATACAGGAACATAAATATTGATGTTATTTTTCAGGAAGTGATTAGGAAGGTGGTGCAAGTAACTAGAGCTGTATAAACAAAGTGATTCAACTCCTAAATGGCAGAGATCTTAGCAGGCCATGATCTATACACCAAAACTGCTTAATTTAGCTAAAGTTGTTTTGGTGCTTACAGTGTCCCTTGAATACAAAACTATATGATCAATGGCCTTGCACCAAAACAATGACTTAAATAACAATAAACAAAATAGCTTTTATTGAAGTGGTTCTCAGATTATTGTGGTCTACAATCAATAAAGTGGAACTTCCTAGGCTTGCTCATCGTGGTCATATGAACGCATGGAAGAATTGCAGAAGAATGTGAAAAGTATGGTGGATGCATGTTGCTACCATGGCTTTAGCAGAATGTAGCCACGGTGGCTTGATGACACAACATTTTAAGTGTGATCTGGTTCAAAATTGGAAAATTTGCCCAATATAGAAAATAAGCCTACCTTTCTCCTCTGTTTTTTCCTCTTGAACAGACGGAAGGCTGGCCCTTCTGAGGTCATCTTCTATTTCTTTCAAACGCCTGTGAGGGACAGGTTTATTGGTTTTGATCCTCTGGCTGTATTGCCTTGCTAACTGGTACACCTTATTCTTAAGTTTCTCAGTCATATCTCCATCCATACAGTTTGCAAGATGCAATATCTGCGGGTGAAGCTTAATGGGCGTTTTAAAGTCCTGATCATTAAATCCATTTGTAGGAGTTGTGAACTGGTTAGGGGAGGTGCTTTCAGGCGTGTGGACAGTGGATTCTTCTGTTATGGTGCTAAGGTCACTGTCTTCCACGATCATTAGTGGCTCGTGAGAATCCATCCTAATATCTTGGGCTGTTGGTTGTTTGTCTTCACTGCTTGTTGTTACCTCATTTACTTTTCTAACTGTATTCATGTCTTTCCATTCATTCTCTTTTTCAATTTCCTCCCAAATCTTAATCATCTCTTCAGATGACTTGAACTCTTCATCGGATACGGGTATTGATGGTTCTGGGATCCCATTCTTTGAGATCACCGGTTGTTGCGGATTTCGAGAACTAGGTTGCACTCCTTTAGCTGTACTGGGAATCTCTGACCAAGAAGTAGGTCTACTGTTGCCATTGCTGACACTACTTGAGGAGCTATTCAGTCTTGGTCTTACCAAAGAAGCCTGGCTAACATCAAGCCTTGGCAGGCTATTAATTTTAAAAACTGAGTTTCTGACAAGTCCAGTGGGGATGTAGGTGAGGCTCTCTCTACGCTTGATGCTAAATGCAGCATCTTGATTCTCTGCGTTGTCATAATAAGTTTTAATCTTGTCAAGTAGTTGTTTGTCTTGGAAGGAGAGAATGGATTCCCTCCTCTTACAGGTGGACTTCTCTCTCTCATAGATGGATCTCTCTCGCTCATCAAACACGTTTTCTATGCTGGAAGAATTCACCTTATTCAGCATGAGCTCTGTGATGGATGTGCTAGATTCAGGCAGAATATCTGGTAGTGCAGAGTCCAGGAGATCAGAGGACCCATTCTGACAGACCATTTTATCTGCACTATCCAGGCTTAATACGCTGCTGCTACGGCTTGTTAACCTGGGGGTTAAATAACCAATGATTCTTCCATCATCCAAAGCCAGACTACTCCTTCTGCTATTTATGAATCTCTCGGCAATAATGCTAGCTTGGTCAAGCACAGAAGGAGGAAGGATACTGGTGGATTCATGGGCTGTTGTCTCCTCTTCTTCCTCCTCACTGCTGAAGGTCTTTAAATCTTCCGCATTCTCAGTGTCTCCATTGTCAACTGGGTTATGTTCATCATGGTGGTTCTTCTCCTCCTCTCTGTGATTAACCTCGACAACTTCTAACGGCGCAGTCAATATTATATCATTAGAAGTGGCCACAACTGCACTGTACGGCTCGTCTGTTTCAGGATTCTCTTTTTCCATTTCATGCACATCCTTAAATATAAATAAATAAAATTACATGTGAACAAGGGTTTGAAATTTTTTTTTATTTTTTTATTTTTTTAAAAGCAAGCTAACTGTTGCATATCTGGGGATGAATTTTGGTTGGTGATTGTTTAAAATATTGCAAAAACACTAAACCCCTTCTATATATGAAAGCTATGATGGATAAAACATGCCAGCACAAGAAAGCTGATAATTTGGCAATTGTTGCTCTAGGGCAGAAGTGGCCGTGGCAGCGTTATTAAAAAGCTTGGGGCTCCAAAAGATGGAATGTAGGCAACATGCAAGACTTGCATATTGCCACAAATTTTTATATATACTTAATGACCAGCAGGGGGAACTCACCTCCTGATAAATAGCAGACACTTCCACACTGCGCCTCTTCTCTGCGTTTCCTGAAGACTGGCTGTTTTGCCTCTTGAATCCTTTCTGGGATTCTTGTGACCCAGCTTCCCTATTCTGTAAATTCAAAGTAATTATGTTAAACACCTAAAATTGGATATTCTAAAACTGGGTTACCAAGAGCAACAATTTCCAACGAATCCTCGAGCATGTGAAGAATTTGGGATGATGGCAAATTATTGGCATTTGTAAGTTTCAGATCTAGATTAAATATTATTTTAGAGCATTAGATTTAGGATTTGATGTTTCATTAGTGAATACCATCACCAATGTCTTGTACGAGATCATTTACTATATTTGAAAGCAGTAGGCTCAAAAGATCTTTGAAGAGATCCAATTTGCGTATTGATGACTTCATTAACTGAATGGGCTCACGGCAGAAGTGGAAGCAATCAACATTGTAAAGCAATTTTAATAGGACATTTAAATCTTGCTACTGCCTTCAAAATAACATTTGCAGTATTAGCAGGACAAGTTGTAGGTCCAATAATATATACTGGCTATAAAAATAAATATATAAAAATGATGATGATAAATACATATAACCAGAACATATTGACCTGTTGTAAAATAGTCACCAGACACTACATCAGCAGTTTAAGTCATGCAATTAGTTTTGTGATAAACAGAACATAAGGCCAAACTCATTAGCATGCAGATATCTCCAATTAACAGACAACAAAAATACCATGCACGTTCATTGGAAACGTATTATTGGTTTATACTGCGGATAGTGTTAGCAAGGAAGGAACTAAAAGGACTCTGATTAAGCGGGGGCGCTAAACACACGAGGTGGAAAAAAAGAGAAAGACCCTCACCGTAGGAGCGCCCAAGGTATAAAGCAAAGTCTTGGCCCTATAGTGCCAGCAATGTATGACAGCCAGAAGGGAGCTGGCAAAATCAGCTACCTGGTCATCATATCCCAAATGTAACTCCTCCTCCTCCTCCAGCTCCTCCTCAGAGGCACTGAGGTCTGCCCCTGAGTTTCTACTCAGCTCTGTATTGGTTTGCTCCTCCTCATTTCCCTCAGCCTGAGGTGGCTCAATTTTGGTTGGCAGTTTGCCGATATTAGGCTGAAGGATGTCCCCAAAGTCGAGTAGTGCTCCGTCACTGCCTGCATGCTGGACAGACAAGGATTGCTTTAAGTTTAAGGAATGCAGGACAATCTGCACACAAAAAATGGCGGAGGACTTATTACAGGAAAAACAGGTGTTATTCATGACCAAAGGGCTAAAGTAGAAGCAATCAGGCATGAAAGCCAATTTAGCGCTTTGCCCCAAACATGCCCCCGTTTATCCATGGTGTGTTATTTACCCAGGGTCAACCAACGTACTAGTAAAAACATTGTTCAGCTGTTTTTTTTTTCTTTTTCTAGAGATCTCAGATCTGTACTTAAAAGTGATGGTGATAACTGTGGGATGATATATTGCGCCGGTGTAACATACTGAAACATGTTGTGGAATCAATAAAATACATTAATGCATAAAAAAAAAAATGTAAATAAGTTTTTTTTTAAAAAGTGCTATTAAAACACATAAGATTGCATACGGAATGAATAAGACACTGCAACACCAATAGCAGCTGGTATTAGCAGAAGCATTTTCAAGGCCTGGCACCATATGTCTGGCTTAGTTTACTTTATTTATAAACTGGACATGTTGAAAAATGGTTTTACGATCCATCCTCTACATGCTGGAAATTCATAGTGAGCATAAATGCAATGATTTGATCTCTTATTTTCCACTTATGAAAACTGTAGACATGTCCCTAATGCAATCCTTTCCTGTCTTTTTACTTCCGTCTAGAAAGGTACGTGGGGTTTGGAAAGTCTAGCTCAGCCATGTGGTTCAATGCCGCATGATTGTAATCTTGCCTTCTGTTCCAGGAGATCAGCTTTCAACAAAGACTACTGTAACGAACTCAACACAATATCTAACACAGAACATACAACAGGCCTTACCTTTATTCCAACTGCACATTATGAAAATGAGAAAGGAAAAAACAAAAAACAAAGCATAAATTACACGTGGAATATATGCAAACATAACGCAAATGCAAAAGACACAAAGGTTCCTTTTAATATTTATTATGTACGAACACTGTCTAGATATTCTATATATTCTATATAATATACACATACACACCGTGATCTAGTAAATTCAGTCAGAGAATAGCTTCAATATAGCAATTCTTAATATAGAATTCCCATAATATCGGAAGAAATCTCATAGTTCAACCCAGTTCAGGAGCGATGGCTGCCGGGTCCATCAGAATGGCAAGGTTAGGAATCCTTATCCCTCCACCTGTTAATGGCTATTGCGCACATGGACATTTTACAGCCATGTGCTGCGCTTTTGGCTTTCCAGTGTTTATGGAATTCATAGTTCATTAAACGGCAGATATTCCATTATCTGACAACACCCAACCTCTTCTTCCCTGTAAGTTTTTTATTCGAGCAAATGTTATTTATTATTTTATTATTCCGTAGCGCTGTACAAAGGGTATAACTCCTAATATATGCTTTCTCCACTGAACAGTCCAGTGGAACTCTAAATAAAAATTATGTTTATACTAAATGTTTAAAATGGACACCTGGGGCACCACCAATACACATGAAATTTCTATCTAAGCAAATCTATAGTAAATTCAGTGCATACAATATTGCAATATAAGGCTTTTGGCATTTAGAATTCACCTTACCTTTCTCACTGAGCTGTTTAAGAATATGTTTTGGAGGTTCTAAAAAGAAAAAGAAAAGAAAAAGGAAAATTAAAACAACCACAACTTAAATAGCTTGCTGCCAATAACATCAAAATTAAATGTAGATAAAAATATATCAACAGAAAGTGCAAGTATATCTATTTATTTCTGGTTTCATTCATACAAAACACTAATCAAGCATTTCTCGAAGTACCATTTGCAACATAATGCTTGGTTGAAAGAATTAAACAAAAAACAACAAAAAAATAAAGAAAGAAAGATATCAAACTGCCTTAAAACAAGTTTATTATACTCCGGGATGTAACCCTTTGGGTGCATGAGAAAGCAGTAACGTAGTGTACATCTCTCTGGCACACAAAGGGACACAGACAGACCCTGCATTGCATAACCTTTAATTTTGAAGGGTTAAATCGAAAGAATGCTACAAAAAGGAGGACCTTAAAGCGCAACGGTCACATTTGTGATGAGAATAACTTGGAATACAACAAATAAAAGTGGTTACAAAACAGAAAAAGACACAGCTAGGGCATATCATGTAAATCACCTTGTATTTCCCATGATGCCCTGATTATCGCTAGCAAATTCTCTAAATAAACTCCGAAAATAAATTCTTCCTGAAGTAAATGAGGAGTCCTTTCATAAACATACTCATATAGAATAGGGTTTAGTTACATCCAGACATATACAAAAAGTTGTTTTAATCAATTTATCAAAAAAATATTTTTGTTAATCAAACAAAACTATTCCAAAACATTTAACCTGTAATTTTACCTGTGAAGTCTACAGGTGACATAAATCCAGAATAAATTTGGATTATCAGGAATTTTATTCGGGTGAACGATTTAAACTAATTTTTATATAAGTCAAGTTACATTTAAGACAAATGCAGATTTCAGAGCTGTGTCCGTTAAAACAAATTCTGATCTGGCAATCCTACAAGTTGACAGAATGTAAATCATGGCGAAGCACATTTCCATAAGGACAGAAAAATTTTAATCACATCAGTAGCGTCTGGTGATCAAACATCTACAAAACATGAAAAGATATGCGACAGTTGCTCTTTAAGTAATGACAAAAGAAATGCTTTAAACTTCCTTCTTCACGCATTTAAACTTGCATATCAGAACTACCAAGGAGTTTGACAGACACTTCATTCACAAAGACTTTATAGGTTTCATTTTTTTTAACCCATTGGCTGCTGAAAGACTTGGCTGTTTCTCTGAAAGGGTTATTCTTTGCCACGGTAAAACACCGAATTGTAGGGAATAGAAAACTGAATTGCAAAATTCAAGTTAAAAACCAGTCCAAATTTTTCATTTCAGCACTTTTCACCTAATGTTTGCAATGCCATTTTCCGTTCATTACAGTTTGGCGTTTAATAAATAAAGCCATTATTGTCATTTTACAATCCACTTCAGAAAAAAAACGGGTTACAAACTGCGCCCACTATATTCCCCAGTTCCGGACCCTGTACCAAATCTAAAAAGCAAAAATTGAACTTCGCACCAGACTTTCTCCGGCCTTTATCTGCAGTGTATACGCATCCCACTTTAACATTTCCTGGAGGGTACTTATAACGATTCGGATCTGGGGACAGGACACAGACAACTGTTAGGAATGTAATATATTCCCCAAAATTCCAAATCACCAGCGAGGGGGAAAAAAAGGATTCAACTATGTTTAGAAGTTTTCTTGCACGAATGCACATAGTTGTCATGAGGCATAGAAGCAATGGCAGGTTTGAACACTGTACAGCAGGTTATGTTAACCCTTTGGCTACAATACATTGTGTGCTACACACAAATGCAAAATGATCAAAAATTGTCAGGATTATTTGCCAAGCTGGGAATGGGCAGGGTAAAACGATTTATACAAGGGGGTAATGTGTATTTGTTACATGATTAAAAAATTATCAGTCCCTTAACTATGTTCTGCACCGCATGGTTTTACTGAGTAACAATAGGAGATAAGTAAACATTATTAGAAATCACAGCTTAACGATTGGCTTGAATCTTTTGATAAAGCAAACTAATAAAAATGAACGAGACACACAGATCTGTCTGATACAACGATCACATTAAATGCAAAAAAATATATTTACAATGGAATGCACAGAATCACAAATAAAACAGAATAGCAGCGGTTTAATTAATAATCATTATGCAAAGTTGGGAGATTATTTAAGATTACTCTGCAGTAGATCACACAGAGAAAAGGTTTATTCAACAACAGCATAAATTCAAGTTTACGCTTTGCTAGTTTAAAAGATGCAAAATCGAACTTCTATGGCTCATAAACAAAGCAAACGCTCTAATCTTTATGTTCAAAATTGCTAGAACCAATTCAATTTTAGACGTTTCTAAAAAATTAAAGGATAACGACCGCCAAACATTATATGGTATATAAAACACATTTTGGGTGATTAATTTGGGGAATCCTTTAGCCCTAATTTAGATTTTAAAACTGATGAAATAGGAATTAACGACTGCTTGACCAGTTTATGAGCCATGTTAAATTGCATCTTTAAGCATTGGGGATCTGCATTGCTGATAAAATATAAAGCAAAACAGGACATACCAGACTGTCTCCTCCCTGAACGATGAGTGACAGGAGGGTCTACTGTAGATATTGTCTTCTTCAGTCTTTCAGGGCTGTACCTGTACTGTCCGGGATCTACAGAGTAACAAGCTCGGATTAATATAGCCTCTAACTGTTTAAATGCTTATTACAACTCGACTCTTTCCAGTATTGGGAGGCAGGGTTATCTATATGCTTGGTATTTCACACAATACAAGCAATAAAATAGGATGCATACATAGAATAGTAGAAGTTCAATATTATAACCCAGGGAGGAAATTGAAGGACCAAACAAAATTAAAAAAAATAAAAATACACCTGTCTACTATGCTATGATTACTAAGCTATATGTGGATGAATCCACAGAATGCCTCTAGACTTACTAATGAGAGGCGTGACAAACTGCTTACAATAAACCATTTATTAGTCCAGTATAATGTTAATGCTAGTGTTACAAGCTGTCAGTTTAATTTATTGACTAACAGCATTGGTACATATACATCACTGTAGCCGTGTGTAAGATCTCTAGAACACAAATCATCTAGTAACTTTGTTCTGTTTAGAATTATACATCTTATTCCATGATCCACAAACCGCAAGAAGCATAAGAAGAAGCGTAAGAGAGTTTTAAAAGACTTACACATGGCATCCATCTCTAGAATTGCTTCTTTGGCCTGAAATAAAAGATGTTTTATTTAGAATATTCATAACATAATATATTTAGATTAGGAAGATATTTATGATAAATTTTTATTATTTTGATTATGAAATCTACCTTTGAATGCATTTCATAAAGCTTATGCTACAATTTGCGTGAATTATACACGTTAAAACAAATGAAAACATGAACGCCCTTCTATTTAAAGGGTCCCTGTAGGCACCCAGACCACTTCAGCGCATTGAAGCGGTCTCGGTGCATTGTCCCACGTCCCTTCAATGCTTTCCTATGTAGAAATCCTAACGCGAGCACGGCTATTTCTGTGCATTTCGCGTGAGCGGAGCATGAGTCAGTGCGGAGGGACATCGGCACTGGATTCAGGGAAGTGACTGAAGGGGTTTTAACGGGAGGTGGGCACGGTAGGAACCTATAGTGCCAGGAAAACTGCTTTGTTTTCCTGGCACTATAAAATCCCTTTAATGTCTTCAAATGCAGCATAGAAAAATTAGATCAGTTAGAAAAGGAAAGTCTAACACAAGGTTCTAAATGTAAAGTAAATCAGTAAGAACATTCTGCTTTCTTTGCTTTTAGAATTTTGCCCCAGAATGTTTTATGCTTTTTTAAAGAACAGGACATGATCCTTTTATAAAAAGGGCTGAGTATCTGGTATCCTGAAGAAGACTAGAAAAAACAACTATTTGGATGGGAGATCACATTATATAGAACACTGAAAGTAGCATGAATGCTTATCCAACCCAAATATCTCAGACTTTATATTACCTTTTGTGGAATAGCAGCATGGTGATTCTCTAAAATAAGCTTCTTGATGTGATGGGTCCAGAGACGTTTTTCTTCGACTGTCTTGGCCTGTAAATAAAAAGAAGACATCGATAAAATCCCTATATGCTGCTTAAACATTTCCTACAAGAGAGTTCATAACATTGGTCCTTTAGTAACCATTTGCCTTGCTTTTCTGTGATTACTGAAGCAAACAATGGCTTTTACTGGTTGTGAGAAACAAGGGTCAAGTGGACCATCATGAAGAGAACCTAGAACACAAATTACTTTGTTGGTTCAACTTCAAATGAGAAATGTAGCCCACAAAATGTGGCTCTCAAGGTTGGCGCTCATTTCTCTAGAAACTAACTCAAGCTCAAAGATTTACCTTTGGTTGAAGTTAAGAACGGTTAATATCGGCTGTCCATTACAGTAACTGAAAAGTACATTCCTGCTTCTAAAGGTTAGTAGCCCTATTTCTCCTTTAGAGCCACTAGAGGTCGAACTGGCCAAATCTTACCTGGACATTATGCTGTTGTTTACTATTCTTGTAATGGGTAACACTGAAGCATAACGAATCTCTGGTACTCTCAATCAGCATCAGGCTTGAACACTGAAATGATAAATCACACTGTTAAGAATACATTATGTATGGGATTAACATCTGTTACTGATTATTTTAGCTAGATAAAGGGGGCACAAAATAAAGACAATACACACAAATGTCCTTTTTCACCACCATTGGCACAGATCAGTTCCTAACTTCTAACCATAAGAAATGGGGTGAGAAGGAGGTTTAAGTCACATTGTCCTACTGAAATAGAACAAGTAAGCTTTTACCTGCATACAGAGACCACTTACCGGAATAAAGGTTTTGTAGACAAAGTGATCTCCACGTTTTTTGGTGATAAATAGTGCCTTGTCAAAGAGAAAGAATGTTCTTTCGCTACGGGCACGCTGAACCCTGAATGTTCCTTCGAGAACCAATTCTCCATAAGTTGTCAGGTCCAGGCCTTTCCAATTAAGTAACAAAGACTGTATCTCCTATAAAAAAAAAATAATTTAAGAAAAAGCATAAAAACCCATGCTTATTAAAAGCTCTGCAGAATGTTTATTTTCCTAAATTTGAGATAATGCCTTCTATACAAGTAATCTTAACATACTGTCTAAATGCTCTGCTATCTCAACTTTTGGCAAATTTTAGAAGCTACTAGAATAAGAAGAGGACTTGCTGCTTGCACCTCAATGTACGCATTATAATGCTGCTCCTTGTCTTCAATTGAGACAAGGAGAACAAAACAAACATGATGTGCATTTAACGATAATCAAATATTGTGCACTAGATCGGAATAAACCTTGGTCTAACACCTTAATCACCCCGATACGGACAGGAAACAGAACAAATGACATCAGCAGGAGATGCGGAATGCATTTGGAAACAAAGGATAAAAAGAAAAAAACTTTTGAAATGTTAACTTCTACATGGCTTTAGGGGCCATTTGTTGGTCATGGCCTCAGCTTTACACCCCACCTGCAGCCTCACAGCATGTTCATGCTTTCTCTTCATGTCATTGATGTACCAAGCAACTCCGGTCATTGTTTCAATCGCCTCTTGTATTGCTTCGTTCCCTTCAGCGTTTGCATCATAATGCTTGGATATTTCCTGGAGATTGGAAGGAACACAGCTAATTAGGAGAGCAGGTATCTCCCGTGGAATGTGTGGATTACACGTACCCACTGCACCAAGTTCATGCACAATTCCGTCCAAGACAAACCCTGACTATTGACATTATAACTAAATGAAGGATGCGCATAACAAAAAGAAATCTTAATTCCATGTAACTCCTTCCCTCCCTTATTCATCTAAGAAGTCATACATGGATGACCAATTCCATTTTCCCACTATTGGCTTGCTCCTTCTCACTTACGTTCCCAGTCTGTCAACCCATATCGCCCTCCCCAAGGTACCTGAAGCAAAAGGTGATATTTTAGTATTCTCTGTACTGGCTTCAAGAGGTAGGATCCCAACGGAAGAGACTGGTTAAGCATTTCCTGCTTCTCACGGAAAAATTTGGCCAAGACTTTGTTCCTCATGCACTCTGTCAGGGTGGCCACGGAACTGGAATGAAAAGTTTGAGTAAAGAGGATATTTTAAAAGGTGCAAAGCTTAGTTTACATGTATCCTACAGAGATATTAAGGTTTAGAAAGGAAAAAAAAAAAAAAAAATTATATATATATATATATATATATATATATATATATATATATATATATATATATATATATATTATATCCATATTTATTTTTAGTTTCTTAAAATATATTTTACTTTAAATCCATAAACTATATGTATCTTAAGTCTATTTTTTTAAAATGATTTCCAATTTTAATAATCCATTTTTACACTGTATTAACCTCTAAATATTTTGGAATCATTTTAACATAACTCGAAGGTCATTTTCTGCAGATTTTTTAATTAAACGTTTTCCATGAGCCAGAATAACTTTAAGAACATTTTACTAAAGTATTTTGCACGCATCTCCATAATTGTAAAATGAAATGTATATGGCCTACTTGCAAAGATCTTATCAAGTATTTCTAATTTTAAATAAACATATATTGTCACAATGCTAGGTCTCATCATACTGATTTCCTGCGTTTACTCACAGACTTGTTTAAACAAGCCCCATCCCTCCCTATCTCCCACACCCTCCTTTTCCTGTTCAACGCCCATCATGAGCTGCAGAAATTAAGAACTAGATGGCACGTAAAAATGAACTTGGACCACTACACCCGGGTAGCCAACTGCCTCAAACTATACAGCCACCTATTTTAAATGATTACATTTCTTAACAGGGGTCAGTGGATGACTCTGCTTCAAAGGAGTAACAGTCCACCTGGACTTTTGCAAGATAGCTGGATCTGCCCTAGAGGCCTCAATGTACTTCAGAACATTTTACAGACTGTCAGCAGGGTTTCAGGGATACAGGAAAAGTGGATCCGTCAGACTATGTCACAGACTGATTAATCAGTCGTACAAGAGGAACACCTTAGCTAGTGAAAAATTCTCGATTTAGTAAGCTTTCCAAATGACTCAATATTGTAAAAACCTTCAAAATGACATCTACAGATGTCACCAATAAAGTGCAATTTTTTTTGTAGATAAATCAGTTGGAAAGTTTTTTTTAAAATATTGAATCATAAGAAAAGCTTATTAATTCGAGGTCACTATGTAAACCTGTCTTCCACCAATTCTGTCCACATTTTCTATGGTGCTCGGCACAAAGCTTTCATTTAATGCATAAAATAAAATATAGAATATTTACACAGGGTAAGCCAATAAACATGCCCCCTTTATGCCATGCATCTCAAATTCAGGGCCACAAAGCTTGCTGAACTAAAAAAAAAACCTCCCACAATTCTATGTTGATGAATTACAAGCCCCAGAATTCCATTGTTTTCAAAGCTTTCTATGAATTTAAGACCAACAACTGGGGGGGGGGGGGAATTCAGAGTCTGAGATCCCTGCTTTATAGAAACTTATGGCATCCATTGTTTAATAAAGTGTAAAATGTAGTTATTTACTTACTTGGGATAGTTTGTACAGTACTGTGTGTAAATATCAAAGTCCTCACTCTATAGACAAAAACAAAACACAAGTTAGAGGGTACCTGGGCATATATTAGACTGAAGGCAAGTGTAAAAACCACAGATTTAAGGGGCTCTGGCAATGCACAGTGTACGCATTTATTTCCTTTATATTGATGTACGGTTTTTGTGTAAATGTTCCAAACAGAAATAGGCCACTAACACTATGACCTACATTATACAGATACCCAACAGGGAACACCCACATTTGCATTCTCTTGTTGATACCTTGTAGCAGATACCTGGGCTCTGTATCCTGGTGGGAACTTAGTGACTTTCACCAAAGTAGTTTTTTTAGTTCATGAAATCTGTTTACAGTACTTAAGTGCACATTATAGTAAACAATATCCGGTTAAAGCGGCACTGTAATGCCAAACGCACCTTCCTCTTACGGTTTCCGCTTCTCTTCTTCTCTCAGAATCTCTTCTTCTGATCTAGGTTTTCTTACCATAAGACAAAGAAGGGACTACTTTGTCTTATGTATTTTTCCTACGCTTGACTTTCTCTGACATAAGGAGGAGCGTACATCCGCTCCATTTCCTGTGTCAGGGAGGAGGGTGAGTACTTTCTTTGACACAGAAAGCTCCTCCTTTGGTCAAAGAAAGTCAATCGTAAGAAAAACACATTTGACAAAAGTAGCCCCAACTATATATATTTTTTTTTTTTTAAAGAAAACTAGATTAGAAATAAGGAAAAGATGAACAGATTCTGAGAGAGGAAGAGAAGAGGAAACAATAGGAGAAAGGTAAGTTTGGCATGACTGTGTCCCTTTAATATAATTTTCTCCTAACAGAGATACAGTACATTTAGCAGTAACTAACCCTTAAAAGCCAGACATTTGTTCAGTAGGTGGTAAGAATTATTTATGGGTAAAAAAACAAAAAAAAACAAAGTTATTTACTAAAGTGCCAACAGAGGATTTTAGACTGAATTTCACATCTTAAAACTCAGTATTTATTTTAACTCAAAATTTAGGTTTTGTTCCGAATCTAGCTATTTTGGCTGAAAAAGTCAAATTAATTTTAAAATTACCGGCAATCCACAAGTTAGTGAATAACCCTGACATATTGGAGCCTTCCCACAGTTATCACTACTGTCAGCACTATGTGTATCACCAACCGATTGAAGCGGAGAGTGTGGCTATTTTTAAAGATTAAAATTGTTGTCTCCTGTGTTTAAATTCTTAGGAAGTTGAAGTATGGGTCAATTATTGGCCAATAGCTCGATATCAGACCACAAACATTTCTAAACAGTTAAGTGCAAGGTTAGTATTTTTGAATTTAGTCATTGTAAGTCATGTCATTTACTGCTGTTCATACAGTGTTCTATTAAAATCCTTAGGTAAACAGGTGTATACATATTTGTCTTCACAGACCTTTTCAACAAAGCAACAGGCCACAGCCACCGGGTCATCCCTGCAGCTCTCAAGTTCCTGGAGAAGTTCACTGCAAATGGAAACAGTACATGCTTATATTTAGAGATGGCATCATGGAGATTTTACATGCCATAAAACAACAAAACATGCAAAGCTTGCAATGTCACAGTAAAGAACGATGAAGACCGAACACTTTGCAGAAAAGAAACAATATGTTTAAAATGAACATTAAAAGCCATAGGGTCATTATTATATAACAGATTGCGTTAACACAAATACATGTTTAGTGGGTACATGTTTGCAATCGAAAAACACAATCAAATCTATTGGTGTCGAAAGGGTGAATTATAAGAATGTGTTAGAAAAGAGAAGTTGTGTTTGTCTTGTTCTAAAATCCCCTAACTTTAAATTTAATTTTATAGATTGAGCTATTGCTGAGAAGCTAAGCAACTCATGTCAACATTTGAAAAACATTTTGGGAATAAAGCCCTGTTTTCTGGATGTAGACACCTCAGATATGCTTAGTTTGCTCTAACAAGAATTCTGACATCACCCATTGGTTTTGCATTGGGCTGTCAGATCCTGGGCACCCTAGCAGTCTGATGGTGGTGGTCCAGGTAATCAATAGATGGAGTCAGTTCTCTTCAAAGAGTTGCCATTTTACAATATATATATATATTATTATTTTATTTATATAGCGCCAACAGATTCCATAGTGCTGTACAATGGGTATGTAGGGCATGACATCTCAAGGAGTCAGAGTCGATTACTTGTAATAAAGTGGGCACACAAATTCTTGCTCCCCACCACCTTCAAACTTATACACTCGCCACTATGTTTTTTTCTAAATCGTAATCATAGGAGAAGCCTAAACCTAACAAAATGTAAACTCTCTGGGGTAAGCTTAAAACAAAACATAATTCTGGTAACGGTTTTTAGAATTCAAAAAAGCTTGCTTGTTATACACCCTTGATATTAGATATCCATAAAATATGTGACTACTAAACATCCTCATTCATTCTTGGTTTGGAATACCATTATAGAATTCGATAGGTTACAAGTATAAACAGGGCATCTTGGTTTCATGGATCCTTTAAGTTACGGTTTTCCAAATTGTGCTCCAAATGCCCCAGTGGAATAAGAACCTTCACACTGGTCCCTTCATTGGTTCAACATATCCAACAGTAAGTGAATGTTTATATCGGTACAAAAAGTGGTGCGCATTAAAACTACCCCACAAAATCCAGGGCACTCGCGGAACCATAACCACTACTGTGTAGTGGTTATGGTGTTTGGAGTGTTATTGCAAAGCTTTTTCTTATGATAACGGACTTAAACTTTCTATATATCAAACAAGAAAGACAAAACACACATGCAAACATGCATTTAATGGAGATCACTCTACTTTATAACCCTAACAAAAAGGAAATAAAGTCACACGGCTGAAATAAAATAAGCAATACAATGGCTGATATCAAAAGAAAGTTAATCTGCATTTAGGGATATGGTGATTGTTTTTATAAAATAACACGTGGTACATTTCCATTGTTTACTAGTGATCATAGTTTTGCCGTAGTATTGGATTAAGTAGTACTATTATTGCAATGAGCGGACTACAAAAGAGTTCTAAAGCAGATTTTCAAAAATGAGAAGCAATTTTAAATATCCATGCAGAAAACTTAGGTCAAATGGAAGAAAATTCAACATAAAATGAAAAAACGGAATTCTACAAAAACCACACATGCACAAAATGTACAGATTATTCATTTCATGGACTCACTGACCACCACCCTCGATAACATACCTTGCTAACAGTTCACTAATGTGGACTTTGTGGAACACAAAATGGAGAAAAATTATAGTTAAGAAATGTTTAAAATGTACCATAAGTTTTTGTTAATAGAAATTAATGGTCTAAAATTTTTTTTGGAGGTAGATTTTCAAATCAAATTGCAACCAGGCTAATTAAACTATTATCATGTAATCTGCACCTTAATTCTTTGGGAACAATTTATAAAATGGATCTCTTCACTAAAATGTGGTCTAAACTACTAAACGTGTGGCAATCACCATGGAAACCAATGGATCCAGCAGGGATATTTCATTGGTGATTCCTCCCCTTTTTGGGAACAGAATCTCATGCACTGTTTCATCTTGAGTGTAGCTTAGTCATCCTAAACTATGGGAAGGGCGGCAGAAACCTAAGGTGAGGCAGGTTTACAGAACCTAGTCTAGGTTACTAATGTAAAAATATAAGATGTTCAGTAACATAAATCGATTATTCAAACGATCAAGTGCTAACAAAACCGCAACAAAACGAAACAAACAGGGAGCACAAAAACTTAAAGTTAAAGTAAAAATAATTACATTGTTTTTGCTTTATTTTAAATACAAATTTGGTTCATACACTAATCAAAAAATTGAGGGATTGTAAAGGAGATTGAAATTCTTAGCCAGACGGGGAGGAAAATTGTTATTATTATTATTTAAAAAAAAAAAAAAAACATATTCCAATAAGCTGGGTTTTTCTTCCATCTATAAGTCTTAGCCTAAAATTTGCAATTACTTTGTCACTTCTTCACTGTAATCAGTTTTAGAGAATAACAAAAAAATAAATAAATGCCTATTTTAGATACTTAAATACCAGCTATTACACACACATTTTGTGCAAAGCGCACTATATAAAGTGTTTTAGATCAGCTTTTCCCCTACAACTCAAACAAGTAGATTATACGTTCCTCCGCAGAGACCACATGTTCAACATACATCTCATTCCAAAGCAAAACTTAATACGTGGGCAACGCATTCTAAGTGGGGAATAAATGGCTTTGCAAAAGACATTGCCAGTACAAGGGACAGTAGTGGATAGAAATCAGAAATTCCGCACAGCTGGAAACCAAGTACGAACAAAGCTAAGGGCAAGCCTTGTTTGCACACACTGTGCAGAGAACATTTAAATAAACCTATAAAAGACTTGCTCCACATGAACCGGTTTAGTTTTTACATCCAATTTCTATTCAAATTTGAAAGCACCATTAGACAAAATAGACTCATCAATATTCATTGCTCCTATTAATCATTTTGTGCAATTAGATTGTTTACACCACTCTGTTTTGCTTTGGATGTTGTTTCTAATGTTCCGTGTCCATCATGACCCAGTGTGTTAAAGAATTAGAAGATTATACAAGGCCCATGTCTTATTTTGTGATTCTGCAGCAGTAATAAGTGAGACAAGATTAAATCCTCTGGGATTTAACACAGAGCGCCTATTATTGCTTACTCTTGATAACAAAGCTCTTGTTTGAGTCGACTCTAGACTTATTATTAAAGGTTAGGAAAAAATAAGGAATCCATTTATTCTAGATTCTTTTTAAGAAAGCTGAAAAAATAAATAAACGTCTGGTCCTATATTAGTCCCTGCTTTAATCAATCACGTGAAACATTGGTATCGCTTCAGTGATCAATAGAATTACAATTAGCTAGTCCTTTATTAGTCTCTGCTTTAATAACTTGTGAACTATTGGCATTGCTTCAACGATCATACAATATTAATTGCTCTTGTTATCATGGTGAAGCCCGGTATTCAGGTTATTGGATATTATTCAGGATATGAAAGGAATTTAGAAAAATAAAATGGAACAGCAACTTTGTTTATTTTATGCAATCTTTTTAACCTCTTACAAAACAACAATATTTATATAATACGGAATGACCTGCCTATTAAAGGAACGCAGTGCAGTGGTTATGGAGCCAAGGGTGCCCTAGTACCCCCTATGTAAGTAGCCAAGTTATTTGATAATCTTTGGCTTCTTACCTGTGATCTACCACTCCCAGCTTCTCTCCTGGTACAAGAGCCAGACATTCCTGCTCGGTAGCTTCCTTTAGCTTTCCTGTGCAATTTCCTGCAGCCAAAGGATTGTATGTTGACTGAAAGTGTCAATTGATTACTCCCAGCCAATGATCTAAGCCCTGCAGAGCCAGATTAGCTCAGATAGAGAGTGTCCGGCTCCAGGAGAGGTGGGGAGCAGCGAGCAGCGTACCCCATATTAGAAAGGTACACTGTTACCAAATGGTTTGCTTACTTACATTGGTGGGGGCATTGGAGAACTCCTGGCACCATAGCCACTACAGCGCATTGTTTGCTGCAACTGAACAACATTCACATGCGTCAGGAAGTGACTGCCATTCTGGGCATACCAATGTTTAGATATGATCTGTTTTGTTCTTTGTGTTCTCATATCTAAGCGTTGGTATGCCCAGAATGGCAGTCACTTCCTGGCGCATGTGAATGTTGTTCAATTGCAGCAAACAATGCGCTGTAGTGGCTATGGTGCCAGGAGTTCTCTAATGCCCCCACCAATGTAAGTAAGTAAACCATTTGGTAACAGTGTACCTTTTAATGTGGGGTACGCTGGTCGCTGCTCCCCACCTCTCCTGGAGCCGGACGCGCTCTGTCTGAGCTAATCTGGCTCTGCAGGGCTTAGATCATCGCTTGCCCTTCTGTTAGCCCCCACTAGGTCTCAAACAAGATTGTGCTCATATACCATCCTGATAATAGTTGACGTTTATTTAGTTGAAAGACAATCCCAGCTCCATCAGGCTCATGAAAGTGAATATAATAAAATAGATAAAGAATATATATTAAATTTACCTGTTCAACTGATAGATATCTTCAATATTTCCAAACAGAGCGGAGACTTGCTCGGGCTTCATTGGAAGCTCCTGTTTGTCGATAATGCCTCCCAGATAATCCTAAAAAAATAAAAACAGTCTGTCAGGTGTGACAATCATCCAACGAATATGGTTTTATAGCAACTATTATATAGATTTAATGACCCATTACTCTGCAAGCTTGGAGTTTTTATTGGGGCCTTTGCCGCTTAATTTGCAACGCTGTTAAAGACAGAACATTCAACTTTTTTTTTTTTTTTTTTTTATCTCATAGCTGCTTTGAATTTGTTGTAGGGACAAAAAAAACACAATATCAAAAAATGCTCAAGACCACCAGTTACCATGGCAACAACAAGTCTACATTACACACAGAGACACACATCAATTGGAGCATTATTAGGAAAAGTGCAAATACAGACTCGCAAGTGTGCTTTACCCCTTCAGGCAGGTTTTGTGTATAAAGCATTGACCATGTCTAATATGGGCCTCTGACCAAAGAGTTTTTTCAATACTAAATTTCTGATCACTCAGTATTAACCCTGTGTGACCCAGACAAGTAAAAATCCATTGTAATACATAGAAAAATGTGCAAAATTCCCCAATTAGGCAGTGTTTATATGAGCAGCATTTCAGCCTTTGTGCCAGATCTCGCAGAGGGTAACTAGCCTAATATTTTACCATACAAGTGCTACACAGAATGTAATGCAGCACATTACTACGATATAGTTTCAGAGCGCCCGGTATTTGCACACTGCTTTCTACCTTACCCATTATAAAAATAACATTTTATTGACATAGTTCGTCTGTTTCTGGCCCTCTTTGCCATGGAAGCCGAACGCCTTAATCCCCTCTTTCTTTTTATAAATTTTATAGAATGCCTCACTTTTCATTCAGTTTGACATTTTAAGTTTATTTCTGATATTTGTAGTTTATTTTTTCAGGATATTCCACCAAAATACAATATGCTCTAAAGTAAGAAATAATGCAGCTTTGCAAAATGCCACTCGTTATTTGAACATAAATGATGTCACCGTTTTTGCAGACAGAACACTGTACCCAAATATTCAAACAGCACCATAGCCCGTTAAAGGGATACTAAGTAATCTCTGTGCAGTGTCTGTCCCCCTTAGCCATGCAATGTAAAACATTATCGTTTCAGAGAAACGGCAATGTATAGATTGCAGGATTAGGACAGCCTCTAGTGGCTATCTACCAGACAGCCACTAGAGGCACTTCCTGTGGCTTTTCACAGTTTGACTTAGGTGGACCCAGTGGCGTACCTACCACAGTCACAGCTGTGACCGGGCCCCCTGGAGTCACTCCAGGGGGACCGGCTGCAGCCGTGACCATGGGCCGCCCGAATAACTTACGGGCCGCCCAAATAACTTATGGGCCGGTGCAAAGGGAGAAATGGGACACAGGGAGGGGGAGAGGTAGAAATAGGACACATGGAGGGGCCTGGGAGGGAGGAGAGTATGGGAAACAGAGGGGCTAAGGGGAGAGGGAATGAGACACATGGAGAGGCTTTGGGGACGAGGGAATGAGGCAAATGGGGGGGCCTGAGCGCAGGAACAAGACATCAAGGAGGAGGGGCCTCAGGGAAATTTTCACACCGGTGCCCGGTGGATTCTAGTTACGCCTCTGGGTGGACCCTGGGCTCTTTTTACAGAATACCACAGGGGAGCTAGCTTTCTCTGTCCCGGTTTTCTTATGGTCCAGCACTAGGAGTACCAACAAAGAGGCATAGCGTGCCAAGATGTGAGTGCATGTTTTGGACCGAGAGGGAGCGATAGCAGAGATATGTGCCTTTGAAAGCATCAGATATCACCTAAGAAGTAAGAGTGCAAGAATAAAGTCCAACATGCCACAGAAGCAAGCTTGATTCAAAATGTAGAGGAATTTCTCAAAAAGGGCGTTGCAGAGTGGTCCTCATACTTTCATACACCACTAAGTAATCTGGTTACAGTCACAAATTGTGTTAGTGAAAATATAAAACAGTTTGCACTCTAACAAAAATTAAAAGGTGTAGCAAAAAGACACTAACCTCTACAATGCTTCGCAGGTCTTGGACATACATCCTCTCTGTATCTATGATCTCCTGCACTACTCGTTCCACATAGCTCAGTTTGTGAGTGATCACATTGACCTTGGTTCCAAAAGGTGAGAGGGACCTAGATCCCAGACGGCCACGTCTATTGACATTGTTATGGTTTGGAGTGTGGCCACCTTTTAGTCCGCTTTGCATTTCCCGATACGTGGCTTGCAGGCTGCCTGCAGCAGATGACACCAGCTCCATATTCTGACTTGTTAATCCGTTTCCCACTTGTTCGTCCTTCTGCGATCTGACACCTATGGTCTCATATATGTCACAGCCTTCGCGGTAGGAACCAGATGACGCTGTCGAGATGACACTCACGGGCCGGTCGGAGTCATAAAACTCTGTGCAGAGTGACGCAGAGCTGGATAATTTTTCATTGCTGCTGGAAGAAGCGACAGACAGTCTTGGAGATTCTACAAGAAAATAGAATATATTTTACAAATAGCTACAAAAAAAAGAAAAAAAAGAGGAAAGAGTGGAAAGAGTCATGCAAATGCATATCAGACAGAATTGAACAGTCCAGTGGAAACTTTGTGTACAGATTTTTCTTTTACGCATCATGTGGCAGATACAATCACTTACATTAACCCATTTCATCCTGGCTTCAAAGGCATTAAGGCCACTGGTAACATACCAATTCAATATTCTAATATAAAACCGAGCTGTGTTGGCAATGGCTAACCTGGGCACCGTGAATATCACTGAAATACGTCTCCCTTACATTCTTAGTCAAATTCTTAGGCTCACATATGTAGCACACATGAATTGTACATCACATCATTGTAATTAGCTGTCAACTGAATTAGCATTCTGGGAAATGTAGTTTAAAAAAGCACCAGCAGTACCAAGAGTGTATTTTTTTTTTTACTTTAAAAAACTCTGGCCAGTGTTTAGACTGTGTGCTTTTTCACACTAGTATTTTCTACACCCGTTTTGCTAACCCCCCAAAAAAGTATGGGTTCAGTTATAACTGGGTTAAACATGCAGAAAAATTGCAGTCTAAATAAATAGAGTACGGTTTTAGAAATAAATAAGGGTGTTAGGAAAAGAAGTCTAAATTCAGTCTCAATTTATTTAAAATTTTTGCCAAAATAATCCGTTGATTTTATTTGTTTTTGTACTCTATAAACCTGTTTGCAAACACCGTCTCTTTAACGCCTTCATTAATTATAAATTACCTGACTAAATGACTGCGAAAAGTCATTAAACGCATTATAAAAAGGAGACAGTAACAAACTCACAATTTATTAATCTATTGGCGCATGCATAAAATGACTTATAAAACTTTTATAGACAAGCCAAACCCTAGCGCTATAGCACACCTCTTTATCTAAAACGTAGTTAAGCAAGCATGAAAATTAAATCCAGGAAAAAATAATAATAATAAAAAATGTTTTTTAAAAGCTGGACGACATTCTGGAGGCCTGTAAGGTCCAAAATTATTCAGTTTTTTTCCTAAATTGCACTGAAATAAAATGTGTTGGTTTGAAAATATTTCTGACTACAAATTACATCTAAATTCAGAGGCTAATCTCGCATACCATTGACTTGTCTGTAAAGATAAAAAATGTGGTTGTGTCTTTAGACTTGGGAACAAAATCTAAAACATAGCAATCCATGAATTGGGAATAGACTGTTCTCTTCTGGTTTCACCCATTCTCTTGGATATTGTTACATGCTAAATCTTGCTAAACGTATGAGCAACATTACTTAACTCCAGAGTTAAAAATTGAAAAGAACATCTTAACTAGCTAAATTGCTGAGAATACAGGTTTTCCCATTATTCCGCCCTTTTATGGTTAAAAGGAACAGATCACACATGTTAATTAAACATGCTTTCTAAACTCTAACATTCTAATGAAATCTTGTGTTGCAGAATGTACTCAGGGCATCCTGACTTGTTATCTGTTACAGTGTGATGAGAAGGTTTTTCTTCCTGCCAGGAAGTGACTAAGTCCTGATGACAATTGTAAATCGCTTCTTACAAAATCATGCAGTATATACATTTTAAATTACTTAAATGAAAGGGAGAGAAATGTAACACATTGAAAGGGATACTCTGACCCTAGATATGATCTTAATGTATAAAGTGTTGGAACGGATATGCCCAAGGTGGTGCTAGTTGTTTATGGTCATTACACACTATAAACTCAGAATTGCAATGAAATTAATCTCAGATTTGAAAATTTAGGGAAATAGTGCCAATTTGGAGTTCAGTACATAAAGAGTTGTTTCTTTTTTAAATGGATGAATATATAGGATGGATGACAAGTGATTACAATGTGCTCTGGGCAATTGCTGTTTCTTGAGGTCAGCTGCACTGAGCCAACAAAACCAGGAAGTAACAGGACCTGTTGTCTGCTTGAAAGCCAAGGGGGTCTAACCAGATTAATTTATAAAAGTGTAGATTTCTATTGAAATCTGCATTTTTTGCAAAATGAAAAAATAAGACACACTCTTCACACACAACTCTTTTCAGCAAGCTAAAGTGGTTTAGGCATCTGGAGTGACCCTTTAACCAAACTTCACAGAAAAACACCCAACAGGCCAGACAAGCAGTATATGACATTGCTCTAAATTAGTGATGTATAGCGGCACTAGTGTGACTATATACTATAGCAATGAATTCCAAGTGCATTTCATATTCATGTAAATTAGTTAATTCAGCTTTGCTTCCAGTTGGACTACTTTAGCCTTAGAATTTGAAAATCACTTTGAATTCTCCTTTTAGTGAATAGCCCAGATAATATTTGGCACGTTTGCCACCAATGCCCTAAATGCAGACATTGCCACCTGACATTAAAATAATATTTTAGCAAGCGGACAGACCACATTAAATACACAGCAATATGATCTTTAAACCTATTTTGTTAAAATGATATTTACCGCGTGCATTTTTATCACAGTAGTAAATTTTTCGCTGCCTTGGGTTTGGACAGATAAGGAGCAAGTACATTCATTATTGTCATCTTTTTACGCACCATTAGTATTATTTATTTATTTTTCCATGCGTTACTCTGTGATATCAGATGGTGCTAAAATTGTGAAAAATTAAATTTTGATAAGATTTTTATAGGTAGATTGTTCTGATTTAATTGTTCTGTTGCTAGTCTTTAAAACGTTAAAGAAATCAAAATGAAATGAGGAATACAGTATCATTTAAGTCATTATGGATTTTATTAGGTCATTAAAGTGCTTATAATACGTAGTTTCCAGAAAAACACAGAGTCCCCTTTGAGATGTTCCTCGTCTGTGTAAACTTGTTGTTTTACGTCTGCAATATTCCACTTATCTATGGGCCAGTGGAAAATATAAAAAAATAAAAATAATTTTAAAATGTTTATTCACAAGATATGCTCACTTTGGCATACTTTTTCCGTATTGACCTATGGATATCAGTGATATGTTTCCATATATATAGCTCAATAAAACACACCCAGCTTACGTCATGAAACAGTTTCACATTGTTTTTGATGTCGAATGACTAACTGTTGGCAGGCTCCTCACTTTCAGAATGCAGGTGGACAGTTTCAGCAGGCAAGGCAGTAATTGGGTTTTCACACCAAGCTTGCCAGATTCAAAGCATCCATTTAAATGAAAGTATCAACGTGTCACTTCCTGTTCCGTGGCCAACTTCACCATCACTTTCAAACAAGTAAACAAGTTTCCAGGGACCAGTTGTATATATCACACCATCTATACCAGGCTTCCTCAAACTCCGGCCCTCCAGATGTTGCTGAACTACAACTCCCATGATTCTATGAATGAAATAGATAGGCTGAGAATCATGGCAGTTGTAGTTCAGCAACATCTGGAGGGCCGGAGTTTGGGGAAGCCTGATCTATACATACGTCCCCTTTTTCTTAGCGCATTAGACCCCAAGTAACCCGTCATTTAAACAAGGTGCTCTCATTATTAGAGAATTTTAAAATAATATAGTTTGACTTTATAGTCTTGCAGGAATCATTAACAGGATTCAAAAAAAATGTTTTTCCCCTGCAATCCCCAACGTACATCAGTAAAAAAAGTAGAAAAGTCAAATCTATGTAGAATGGTAAGTATTTTCATATAGAATTGAATTTCCATTTGACTGTAATAATTGAGAAAATAATTATTTTTTTTGTAACTTTTTTTTATATTCAAGATAAAAAATCAAAAAAAAAAAAATCAATCAGTTGGGCATTGGTAGGACTCGCAGGTCCCCAAAACAATTGGCATCACAGTGGGACACACAGGTTCCCTGCATTGCAAACACATGAATCTTGCAACACAGTATAACACAATTATAAAGCATCACAAATATCTCAAGTTGTCTCAATTCTGTGCTACAGGTACAGTAAAAAGGAGGTAGGGTATCTAGCTGTCAAATAGTACAAAATAAAAAATATAACAAACTAAAAAACTCATGAGACTCTGGTTCCCCACACAGCCCGGGGCACCCACCCCAGGTTCCCCCAGATTTCTGATACTAAGTAAAATGGTGGGAAAAAAATAGAGAAATAAGAGGCATAAGTGGGAAGAGAAGAGGAAGTGCTCCAGCATCCCGTCCCCCAAAAACGTTTATGGTGTAGGGGCTGTGGATCCCCACGGAGAAAATAATAATGAATTTCTAGTGACAAGATAGAAATTGACATGTTTAAATATACACTCACATTATACGTTGACATGCGCTACACATATAACAAGCAACTAAATGGAACTAAATGGAGATTCTATTTTCTCATTTGTGACTTTAAACAGCTAGAGTGGGTATAGATGGTATGAGATTTTCAAACTGTATCTGCTCTGTGTATTACCCACGCAGGCTTCACTGACCTATGCACAAAACATGTGTCTGATTAATGGTGTCCATTTTATTCCTGCCCACTGCCGCAGACAGAGAGAAGTTCAGCAATGGAAAAAGGAGCTGACAGTATGATCCATTCTTTCTCACCCTTTAAAAATATCTGATAACCAAAGTGAAGCAATGTTAGACCAATTGCACTAATTTAATATTTCCCTTTAGAAACAAAGTATATACAAAAAAAGTCAATATGGGCTTCTACGAGACAGTCATAAAAGGGCACTTGCCCCATCCCCTTGGCATTTTAGTCTCAAATTCTTTGAGTCCCTCTGCAAACAATATTCTTATAGTGTATAGTAGCTCGCCCGGGCTGTTTGGTGGGGTAGAGGACGTCATATTGCTTGGCCTAGGGGCGTCTGCAAAGTAAATCCAGCAACGCACTGATCCCTTTCATTTAACCTTTGCTGCCACTCGCATAATCACTGCTATTGTCTAAAAGACACCCCTTGCTTATTGAACTACAGCAATAATAAGTAAAGGCGAAATAGTTTTTGCCCAAATTAGAAGGCGGAGGGGGTGGAATTAGCAATATTTTCTGCAACAGAAACCTGGATTGTAGGGGTTAATGGAATGCCAAAAAAAGCTGATGTGAATATTTAAAACCCAGCCATGCCAATTACAATAAGGACTTTTGGGTATAAATGGTCACAGAGTAAATACTATAAAAAATACCTAAAACACATTTTTGTATCACTTTTCTTTGTGAATAAGGGATCAAGAATGTTCTATTTTTTGCCTTCAGCAACCAAACCAACCCTCATAGTTAACCCTTAAGTCATCACTGAATAGTTTTATAAAATTCCAGAATATAGTTTTGTTTATTTCCTGTATAAAATGCATACCTGTACCACCTATATACAAGGCTACACATTCCTGACATACCTTGTTTAAAGTTCAACATACTGTAAATCATTAACTCATACATTGCCAAGTCCACACATACAGAAAGAATTCTTTAACCTTGTATATATTCACTAAACAAAAAAGAAAAAGAAAACCACTAATTACATTTACTTAAAAGGTTATGTTCAATAGATCTAAAATAGATCTCAAAAGGTTTACTTGTAATAGATTTGAATGAAACTAAGCCCCCTGTATGTCATTCCTAAGTGACAACAATTGCTGTATTGAAGGTTTGTAATGTTAATTATGGTAATAGAGGCCTTAGTCCCACGGAAACAACACCTAGAGATCCCTTGTTACTAAATGTGTGCGTTAAAACAATCCCAACACACAATCCATCAGACACAATATTTAATTGCTTTAAGTTACCCTTGCAGACATGCCCAGCCGGTTGGTTCCCAAGAACCTCAGTTCCACTTTAGAAAAATTTGAAGAAAAAAAACATGGTGATTTGGGAGCGGTTAACCCAATTTTGCTCAATGATAACCCAGATGTTTCTCAAAAAACAGGGCATGATCACATCTTTTGTGTTCAGGCAAAAGATCACAGTGCAGGCATGTGAGAGCAAGTACCATGATGTGCCAAACCTGTCATGCCAACCCACACAACCATTAGCAGTATCTACGACATCTCGAGTGTTAGGCAAATATCTAATTTAAGCTTTCCTGGCTTGCTCTCCTTGTCAAGTTGTACAAATGGGACAAAAATATAATTGTCCGCAAACATGGCAGCTGATAACTGCAACCACTTCTACCCACACTGTCCGAGACATTTTTGTAATAAGCTGTATAGCGTTCAGAATGATCTAAACTCCAAATTGTAGTTAATCAAAATCAGAATGGCAAAATTAAAATGAAACAACTAACCTGGAAAAATTCTCTAAATTCGCTTGTCGCAACTCAGATTTCATTTTGCTGCAATTTGGACCTTTGTAATAAATTCATGTAGGCCTTTTATTAAGAAATAATAGCTATACTGAGTAGATGGCACCTGTATCTGTCAATGGCAACATAAACATAAGCCATGCTGGCAAAACAAACAAAAACAAGTCAGATGATGGGGTACAACCCTCCCTCTGCCTGCAGTAAAATTATATCCACATTTTCAAGTCTTCACTTGCAATTCTGATGTGAGCAAAACAAGGGACAGTCTTTTTAAATATTATGTAGAATTAGAGTCTGTGACGGTTAGTCTTGCCATGGGGGATGATATCATTTACATGTCTCATGACATGCAGCCAGCATCTATGACAGTGAATGGTTACTTTGCGTCACAGATGCTGCACGCCAAATTTCCCATAATCCTTGTGGGAAATCTGATTCTGAACCAACAGGAGGCCCCTGATTTAGGTGTAATTAAACATTTACAATGCCAACACTAGTAAACTACTGAGCAAGGATTAACATGCTCTTTTATAAAACACATTTGCCAACAGTTGCATCAATCACACAGATGTTTATGTTTCTCAGAAAAGGTGGACACGAACCCTGTGTTGTAAGGATGATGAGCAAAATAGTCACTAACTTAAAGTACGGAGACATCTTCACGTGGCTTAATATACATTGAATGAGCAAAAGATAAGGTAACGTCTCACCAAGAGATTTAACAACAAGCAATTTATGATAAAAAAATAAAATCTATAAAACAAAAAAAAAAACAATAAAAAGATAAATCGTTCATATAAAAAAAAAAAAATCTATTCTGATTCTAAAATTCAGTAACCAGATGTAAACGCATTAAAGTCTTAAAGCAGAATCAAAACTAAAAGTAGCAAAAAAATGAAAAAAATAAATATAAAAAAAGGTTTGGTCACTAAGTAAACACTTACCAAACAGCCGTGAAATCCTACGATTAAACCCATCAAAACGGCCTCTTTCGTCAAACATTTTGCCCCAGTTAAACCTCCCTTGTCCTCCTTTCCATAGACTCAGGAATCCCTTCCTTACATGAAATGTCTGTGCTGGGAGAGGTAGCAATCACTGACATCACCTCCTCACCTGCAGCGTCTAAACCCTCCCCAGCCCTCCCTTCTTCCCACCTCCTAGCAGGAAACAAGACGTCAAAAAAGAGATTTCTCTCCCGCCCACCAAAATCACAGGTGTTCTCAGGTACATCATGTCTGACAAGAAAAAGGTTTAGAAACCATGATGCAAATGTCAAAAAAAAAAAAAAAAAAGTAGACAAAATGAAAACAAAACATTTCATGAGTTCAGGTTTTCAGAAAACGTTTCAAATAAGTCACTAATACAATCTTTTTGATTAGTTTAACTTTTTTACTGCCAATGGGAAATGCATAATAAGGCTTCTCAGGCAATGAAAGGTTTAAAACTGTCCTCAAGCAGAACCTCTAATTTATTATGTTTCGGTTCCATATAATAACAAGACATGTACAGATCTTCAGGGTTCTTACAGGGTTCAGGACAGTACGGTAAATGTATGTTCCAGGGCAACGTTTATACCAATGTGCGTGTTCTACAAGCATCTTCCAGTAATGGAGGAAAAGTTTTTTGTTTTTTAAATATAAAGAAGTTTCAATGCCCAGGGTTTCTGCTTAGCATTTAAAATATTTATGACCGGATACGTACCAGAACCACCATGATTTAATGGAATTGCTGAATCCATTGTCCTGAAGGAGTTAAGAGTCTTGAGAAAAGCAAGAGGGCCACCAATAATGAGCGGCCAGGGCACAAATGGCACAGACAAGGACTACTTTTTTTTTTTTTCACACTAGTATGAACTTAAGATTTATCTTGTTATTAAATATATCCTACGATAAACAAAACAATCTAGAAAGACTGTACAGGAGGACCCTAAGCCACACAACCAGAAATCCAAATCCTTCTCCGATCCATGTATCATTGTAATTTGGCGGAAATGGTTAATGGTTAGGTCTACCAATAGCGATATATTATCCACATTCACTTCTGGAGTTTCCATTATTCCGACATTTAAAATCCAGTGTACACACAAATGGGAATTTAGCCGTAGCCGTGCCTGGGTGAGTCTTCCTGCAGAGTTCATTATTAAAACTACAGAGGAAAGCAAGAATGTGCAGTGACCGAGCCATCTGATACCATGCATTGCAGGATTGTTTGGGTTTTTGAATTTCAATTTTTTTTTTTTTTTTTTTTTTTTAAATTAAGGGAATTAATTTGCTGTCCTGGCACATCTTGTACACGTCGACGAGAGGTATATTTTTAAAGAGAGAAAAATTATGGATAAGCCAATTAACTTCTAAATAATAATTACATGAAGAAAAATAAAGTTAAAATAATACTATGAAAAACAGGAAACCCCAAGAGCTGATTCTCACTAGCGATAAAGAATACGAAGAGTTAATTGTGCAGTACAAAATAACTTCCTTGTATTCTACTATAAATAATCACGAGGTAATCAAAGCTATTTCTCTGTTTCTACACTGCTTTCTTTTATCTCTCTTATCTAATGATCATGGACAACTTCCTTAATCAACTAGGCGCAGTTACCCTCATCATGCCACTGTACGCCAGAGGTCGAGTCAGTCAGGATTTCCAGAATACTAGAATTGAAACATTCCTCTACAATAGGCTTTGGTCCCTCTTGTCTAGACTTGTATTGAGGGCTCCGGCAGAGTTACATTCCTTTCAATGTGAATAGGCTTGCTTAATCCTCTCCAGGCCAAAGAGATCGACAGTAAAGAGCTCTGCAATGCATTTCAGCATCTCTGGACACCGAGGGGTTAAAGGAGGAGTTTGAGCTACGCTGAAATTTCTAATCAACCTCGCCTGAATCATAAGATCTTAGTGAAAGCAGTCATAGCACACATTCCCTTTCACAGTATAGTTTTTAGGGCGTTTAGACACCTCAAAATGCCCAAAACTGAGTTTTTGGAACACTCCAGATGACGTCACACTGTCCCTTTAAGAATACAAAGAATTGGCCACACGAGGCAAAATAAATGGTTATGCCCCAGTTACTTTACTAAGCTGTTAGTTCTAGTGACAATGGCTTTTACTAAAACGCGTGCATTGTTGCAAAGCAAGAGTCGAATAATAATAATTAACTGGGAGCCAGATCTGTGGAGGTGTGAATGCACTAATCCAATTTAACCCAGACAAAAAGCACCTCCAATACAATGTATCCATATGAAAGCAGTGAATTAGCATGCATTATGAGCTACTGGGAGGCATTAGGCCGTTACTGGATCATGCTCTAGGTGGAGTTCATGCAGTTTCCTGGCCTGAAGGGTTTTTTTGTTTTTTTTTTAACTTTCAAGCAATAATCCCTGCTTAGAAGCTTCATCAATCAGATCTACTCGACACTATCCCCCAAACCCAAAAATAAACACAAATTTGGGTTTACACAGAGTCCCCATGGATTTCCTGTTAACAAAACTCGTTAATGTGTGTGGCAGCGCACAAAAAGACCTGCCCTATAGTACTCACCATTTATATCCTCCATGAAGAAAATTTGATTACTAATAAAAGCCGCTTCCTACATAAAGTTTTATTACTGCAAAATATGAGATGATAAACAATTCACTATTTAGGTTGTTTTGTTTACAGCTCTCCAGAAAGAAATTGGGCCTTTACGCCATTCTGTATTGACAAAGCAGATCCACCAATGGGTGTCAATACATAAACAGACTGATACAGTTGCTACTTCACAGGTTTTTTTTGTATATTTCAATACATTTATACACATTGTGGGTCTATATAGGAGATACAGTGGGGATGGGGGATGTGTGTGTGTGTGTCTGGTTTTATATGTGTGCGTGTGTTTGTATAGAAAAGTACGGCTAGTTTGAAGAATTTGTGATTGCGATTATATGGGTGTGTGTGTAAATGTTACTTGGTGGCGGTGTGTGACAGAATGACTAATTACGTGTGTGTATCACTTATCAATGAAACATACAGCTGGGGCGTAGCGTTAAATCACATCTTTCTACTATCTAAAGGAACACTATAAGTAACAACTTTAGCTGAGTGAAGCAGTTTTGTTCTATAGAACATGCCCCTGCAGGGTCACTGCTCAATTCTCTGCCAGTTAGGAGTTAAATTACTTTTGTTTCAATTTATGCAGCCCTAACCACACTTCCCCTGACTCTCACTCACATTGTGTGCATGAAAACAAAATTGTTTCACTTTGAAATCAGACCTTAACCTGCTTTAGAAGTTTCATCCCTTGCTCTGTAAATTGAACTTTACTCACACACAGAAGGCTATTAACAGAGTAGGGGAAAAAAAAAATCTAAATTAAACAGAATGTGCAATAAAGGAAGTTTCATTATGATATGTCTCTTTACAGGAAGTGTTTACGAAGGCTGTGTAAGTCACATGCAGGGAGGTGGGGCTAGGGCTGCATAAACAAAATGATTTACTCCTAAACGGCAGAGATACTGCAGAGGCATGATCTATACACCAAAACTGCTTTGTTAAGTTGTTTGGCGACTATAGTGTCCCTTTAAAAGTACTTTAATGTAAACCTTTGCAAATCAATGCAGCGGACTTCATGCAAAATATACAGAACATTTTATGCTAAATAAGTTTTCCCATATTACACTTAATTTGAGAATTGCAGTAACTGAAGACAATGGTCACATAACGCCAATAATCCTACAATATATTGTGTTGTTTTTGTGGTTAGTTTAGTTTTAACAGCTACCGGCAAATTTCTGATGATGTGGCCTTCACTGTAAACTTGGACAAATTACTAGCATTATCGGAAAGCCTATTCACAATGAGTGCTTTGAAGTTTAATGCAAAAGTTTACACACTATTTAGGCTAATATAACCAATTTCCTGTACCATTCCAGTTTCGGTTTGTTGGGCAGTAACATGCAAACACACACTAATTTTATCAACTTAATAAAGCAATTTTAAACAAAACCACAAGTCAATAACTGGAAAATCCACTTAAAGAGACACTCACGCACCAAGTGGTCCAGAACTCAAGGGTAACTATAGGGCAAACAGGAGCCTTCACACGGAGCCTGCACAGTACAAGAACTTAACAATTTGAGAGAAGGTACGGGGCAGAGTGGGAAAAAAAAAAAAAAAAAGAGATAGAGAGAGAAATAGATACTCACGGAGGTTGTTTAAAGCTTTAAAAGCCAGCAAGTCGACTTCATAGGCTATATAACATTTTATGGGCAACTATTGCAGAGAGCAGGGGATGAAGGCATGTGATAACAGAGTTTCTGTTTAGTAAATAACTTGGCTTAGCTTTTTTTTTTTTTTTTGTAGAATAACCAGTAGTCCGAGTGTTATGACACAAAGACACGTATTAATGTTGGGAAATCCGGTGATTAATCCTGCCAAGGTTCTCTCTTTGGAAGATGTTCGATTTAATCATGGGACCTTTTAATCTTTAAGAGTTTATAAGACAATTGCAAAAGTTTCAAATTATATAATGACCTTTGTACTATTCATTCTCTCTTTTTTTATAGCATAAGTGGTAAAATCCATCCCCCTCCCACCTTTCCATTCTAAAACTCCATAATGGTGATTAAAGTGTGGTTAGGAATTCACCAAGGGGTACAACTGTCACAAGGTTAAAAAGTATTCTCCTAAAGATACTCCCATTGATCTATCAGATCAGAAGACTTTGGACCAGCTAAGGACTTTCCACCAAACCCTTTAAAAGGACACAACAACCACCAGGGCCGGACTGGTAAAAAAAAAAAAAAAAAAATCGGCCCGGGCATTTTTTTTTATCACAGCGGCCCACTGAAAAGGGGGCGGGGCCAGATAGTATGTGTTTTGTCATCCCAATGACAAGCACGCGCCATCTCAAAGTGAGCATGTTGGTTCAATGCTCTTCCAGGGCAGACCATGCACAGAGCTCTGCTGAAGAGCCCTAGCATGAGAAAAGGGCCCTGTGTTTGTTCTGCAAAGCGCAAGCAAATTTAATAACATGCTTGTGCTGTGTTTCTTTGAAACTTGTCTCTGGTATCTCCATAAATTGGATACCAAAAGACAAAAAAGCCAGGAAAGAGTACTGTGCAAGTGTTTGAAGCTGATTGTGGTGTGTTTTTTTTGTTAATATGTTGGTTCCAGTCATGTTGTGCTTGTAGTGAAATGTAATGTATGTGTGTCTAGGTGTTGTAGAGAGTTTGTGTATAGGGGGCATAGTGTGTATAGGGGATGTAGCGAGGGTGTGCAAATGGGCTGTAGTGTGTATATATATATATATATATATATATATATATATATATATATATATATATATATATATATAAATATAATGTAGTGTGTGTAGGGGTTGTAGAGAGTGTGTGTTTAGGGAATGTAGTATGTGTTTGCTTACAAGAAATCGTGTGTGCATAGGGGATCCAGAATGTGTATGTCAGAAATGTAGTGTGTGTGTGTAGGTGGTGCAGTGTGTGTGTGGAGGACATCTTGTGAGTGTGTGTGTGTGTGTGTGTGTGAGGGGTGCAATGTGTGTGTGCCCGATGGCCAGGCCTGAGAACAACTACAGCTTATTGTATTTGTTCTGGTGTGTATAATCATTCCCTGCAAGCCTTTTGCAGTAAACACTGTCTTTTTAAAGAAAATGCAGTTTTTGCATTGCCACCTAGGGATACCTGGACTGGCCACTCCTTAGATGGCTGCTAGAGGAGCTTCCTGGGGGCAGTGCTGCACCATTCAGTGTCTCCACCCTCTGCTTGGAGACACTGAACTTTCCTCATAGAGATGCATTGATTCAATGCATTTCTACGAGGAGATGCTGATTGGCCAGGACTGTGTTTGGCTTCTGCTGGCTCTGCCCCTGATCTGCCTCCTTGACAAGTTGAGCCAATCCAATGTTTTCCTATAGGAAAGCATTACGTTTGGCTCAGACCTTTACTTCTGATGATGTCAGATAAACAGGCAGATCAGGGCAGAGGAGTCAGCAGCAGCAGACTGGAATAAAAGGAATATTTTACTATACTTATACTACAGGGTCAGAAATATACGTTTGTGTTCCTGACCCTGTCGTGTTCCTTTAAGGTGGACTATTACAATTCTCAAAACACAAAACGGACTAAAACTGACCAATTATCCACGTGCCTTACTTAATTCAGCACCAAGTTATTCAGTGACATGCTATCGAATACATCTTGATTTGAAATAGTCAAGTAGTTTTACAGTTAGGGTGGCCATCCGCAAAAGGAAATTCTGTACAAAGTTGCAAGTCGTTTCTCTGAAACAATTTCATCAAACACATGATGCTTTCCAAGTTCAGAGGCTTAGCATTCACGTTTTGTTTTGCTCCCTAGCCAGAAGAAGAGTTAATCTGAATAATTGCACAACGATATTCATTTTTATGAAGTGGGAGACAGGTGCACACAGAAACCCACAAATTGCCAACCTTATATTTTTATGAAATGGTAGCATTTTGTGGAATATTTCGCCTGGTTCCTAAGTACCGTCAAACCCTGAATTATAGTAACAAAATTAGAAAATCCATTAGCAGTGAATTTTCCGACTGAGCCCTTGATGTAACAATACTGGCATGAAAAACACCTGTTCCATCGACCCAAGTACAGCTCTGTTCCTGAGGTCACAAAAGACATTCAGTATCGGTGTGTGCTGTTTACACAGTGACTTGAGGTGGGACTTGCACGTTCTATTCTTAAGCAGTGTCATTGGACACACTTCCAGGAAATGTTCTTTACAAATAATCCCTAGGCAAACACAAACTCACAATACTCCACCCTCCTGCCGTACAGCTCCATCCTGAGTTTATAAGACCCCAGCAAATCCGACAGGTGCAAGATGAATGGATTTACTTGCTGCCGTGTGTTGGAAAGATTAATGTTACAGGGTCTGACTGTGCGTAAAAGATACAGTGGATTTTATTTTAGAAGATTGGTGGATTTCCAAACATATTTCAAAGACTAGGCAATTACGATAGATTTGTAAACAGGGGTGCCCAAATGGTAGATCCCCATATGTTTTAAAAACTACAGCTTCCATGATGCTTTGCCATTCTAAAGGCATTCCAAAGGCATGCAAAGCATCAAGGGAGTTGTAGTTCGACAACATCTGGGGATCTTTTATTTTGGCACCACTGGTCTACGATGGATTCTTTTCAGCATTGCAATTACATGTTTATCTAGTTTAGTACGTGGCTACAGAATATGAATGCCGGTTTCAGACAGTCAGGTAGATACACAGGGACAATACTCCTTTTTATTTAATCAGATACACAGTGCAATTTATGTATTGCCCCCCCCCTGCATAAAAGGGAATTTCCGGGAGCTTAAAGGCAGAAGGAATTTATCTTGACAGAGAATCATGCAAACATTGATAATATATGACTAAAAACAGAAGAATAAAAATGCTCATTCCTAAATATGTGTTTCATAAACTAACCCTTGCAGTGCTGCAGTAAAGAAATGCAAAGTGAAGATCTCACCTGCAGCACTATAATACCACACATGCATTCACTGCTAAAGTGACACTATAGGCACCCAGACTACGTCAAACCCTATTGCCTAAGTGCTGCAATGTAACACACTGCACTAAGACAGTATCTAGTGGCACTCTACCAGACAACCATTAGAGGTGCTTCCAGAATGTTACCAGGCTTTTGGCCCTCTAACTGGCACTGAATGTCCTCACACTCTGCAGGAGGACATCCAGCGTGTGCTATTTTACCATAGGAAATCATAGTTTCATGCTTTGCTATGGGGATCCCTAATGCTAGAGCGGCACTTGCATCCCCATGTTGAGTGACGTCGGAGGAGGTGGAGCCAAGACCCAATGCTGAGATCATGTAAGTAAAGAATTTGTATCTCTTTTTTCACCGTGGTGGGAGGGGAGGGGATTTGTGTGAGGGAGTTGGGAGGCAGAGGAAGCTAAAGGGACACTATAGCCACTCACTCATTCTACTGCAATTTAATGAAGTGGTTTGGGTGCAATGACTGGATTACATATCCTTTTATGAGAGAAGATCAGACTGAAACAGATCATGGTTCAAGGTCTGGGGAGACCTACACAAATAAATTAACAAAATAGTGACAAAAGAAAATGGAAATCTAACAGCCAAAGCACGGTTACAAATGGTTCATGAGAATATCGGCAGTAGCAATAATCTACAGCCATAAAACATAAAACACTGAAAAACAAATATATTGTATATTGACACAGGAGTGGTGTGAAAACGCCCTATAATTTGGGCAACAAATGTTATAGTTACCGATTTCAGTTGAATAACATGGCCAAGGAAAGATACTTTGTATCACAGTTTTAAATACGTAATAAATTGTATACACACACAGATCAGCCACAACATTAAAACCACTGACAGGTGAAGTGAATAACATTGATTATATTGTTACAATGGCAACTGTCAAGGGTTGGCATACATTAGGCAGCAAGTAGACATTCAGTTCTTGAACTTCATGAGTTGAAAGCAGGAAAAAAGTGCAAGCAAAAAGGTCTGAGTGATTTTGACAAGGTCCAAATATTGATTACTGGACGACTCAATCAAACCATCTCCAAAATGTGAAGTTCCCAGTATTAGCTGCCAAAAGTGGTGTAAAAAAAAAAAAAAGGACACGCATCAGGGTCATGGGTGCCCAAGGCTCATTAATGCACATGGGGATTGAAGGCAACTCCCGGTGGTCTGATCATACAGTAGAGCTACCTGTAGCACATCATGATCTGAAGGTGTCAGAACACACAGTGCATTGCAGTTTGCTGTCCATGGGGCTGCAAGACTGGTCAGAGTGCCAATGATGACTCATATCCACCACCAAAAGCACCTTCAATGGGGACATGAGCGTCAGAACTGGACTGTGGAGCAATGGTTGCCGCATCTGATGCATCATATTTTCTTTTAGATCAGGTAGATGGCCAGGTGAGTATGCATTGTTTACCTGGGGAAGACATGGCAACAGGATGCATTATTGGAAGAAGGGAGGCTGGAAGAGGCAGTGTTATGCTCTGGGCAATATTCTGCTGGGAATTCTTGGGCCTTGTTATTCATGTAAATGTTACTTTGACGCACATCACCTACCTAGAGATTGTTGCAGACCACATACACCTCTTTGTGCCAATGGTGTATCCTGATGGCCGTGGCCTCTTTCAGAAAAATAATGCACCCCGACACACTGCAAAAATTGTTCAGGAATTGTTTGAGGAACATAGAGTTCAGATCTGTAGGATGTGCTTGAACAACAATTTCGATCCATGTAGTCCCCACCTTGCAACTTGTAGGACTTAAAGGATCTGCTGGTAATGTCTTGGTACCAGATACTACAGGTCATGGTCAGAGGTCTCATGGAGTCCGTGCCTCCAGCTGTTTTGGCAGCACAAAGGGGATCATTATTAGACAATATTAGGCATGTGGTTTTAATGTCGTAGCTGATCAGTGTACAAACACACACACAGCTGTGAAGGCCAGCATGTACATACATCACCTTTCTTGATTTTATTTTTAAAGCTTATCTATATAATGCATCAAAAAATGGGAGATCCCTTCCAGCTAGGGGTGTCCCTTTAAAACCAAAAGCTGAACTCTCTAAAGTCACGTTTTTGTGCTATAAATGCTATATACGTGAACTCTTATGCAGGACAATCAGTATGTCTAAGCACTCATACATTTTCACTTCTGACCCCAAAATTGTGCACCATTCAAGAAAAACAAAATCTATTCCACATCTGTTTTTAAAATGAAGATAGGGTGTGAAAAAATATGTGGATAAGATCTAGATGATATTTTCCTTACAGTATTTTAAGCCGTCTGTACTTGAGCTATGATATCACTGCCAAAGCATGCATTTTTCGTTTATCAGAGTGTCAGACAGTGGCAGGACTGGGGGAGTGGAGCTAGGGCTGGACTTACACTCACAGGTAAAGAATGCAAATATCAGCAGAATGATAGCAGCAGAAGCCGATTAAGTGGAGTGCCAGGAAGGTGTACAATAATTAACCATCTGATACCCACAGGGCCAGCGGTAGGGTCTAGTAAACATAAAACCATAATTTATAGGCAAGTCAGCTGATTGACAGTGTGTGTTTTGTGTTTTCTTTCAACTCACATGCTTCTAAAAAACGAACAATAAATCTGGCTACACAAAATATTCTACAACAAACGTCTACATTACACATTAACGGCAAATCATACGCTATTTATTCAGAGAATCCTTCACTGACACAATTTAGCAGTATTCGTATTGTGTTAGACTAGTTCAAGGCGATTCTTTTATAAAATTCCATCTATAGTGTAAAGCGGAGAAGAAGACTGCGATTGGAATCAGATGACACACAGAGACCTATGCTCGAGACATTAAAACCTAAATATGAAGAGCTCTCACAGTCTAACCAATTACCATGCCGTAAAGAAACACTCTAAGCACTATAACCACTGCAAACTGTTGTCCGGTTATGGTGCTCGGAAGCTGTGTGTGCAAACTACCTTTTAAACTTTTGTCATTTTTTCCTATTATGAAAAAAATATTGTACAACACCTGCAAAACTCAGATCTGCTGTTCTGGAGTTATGGACACTCATGCTAATAAACAATATAATACATTTACTATCACAGTTGCTATACAGATTACTGACCAAAATTCTATATATTTGTTACGCACGCAGGAAATATTTAATTTTAAAAAAAATTGCTGAAAGTGAGCCAGTCACTAACAAAATAGCTACCCAGTGACACTATTACTAGGTGGTAGTTTTATTTCAGCTACTTTGCTTATGCTCCAAGTTACTTGGAACTGGGATTCCATACCAATAACATTAATTTATATATATTTATATTCCTAGAATTAAAGGAACACAATAGGGTCAGAAACACAAACATGTATTTCCGACCCTATATTGTTAAAACCACCATCTAGTCACCCCTTCCCCCTCCTTAATAAAGTAAAATCTTACTTGTATTCAAGTTTGCAGCTGCTGCCTCTGCCCCGTTCTGCCTGGCTGACATCATCAGAAGTGATTCTGTGAGCCAATCACAATGCTATCCCAAAGGATTGGCTGAGACTGTCAAGGAGGCAGATCAAGGGCAGAGCCAGCACAAGTCAAAAAGCCCTGGCCAATCAGCATCTCCTCATAGAGATGCATTGAATCAATGCATCTCTATGAGGAAGGTTCAGTGTTTCCATGCAGAGAGTGGACACATCGAATGGCGCATCACTGCCCCAGGAAGCACGTCTAGCAGACATCTGAGGAGTTGCCATTGGAGGTATCCCTAGGCTGTAATGTAAACACTGCATTTTCTCTAAAAATAGACATAGGCATAGCAGGGGCAGAGTCAGCACAAGCCAAACACAGCCCTGGCCAATCAGCATCTCCTCATATGAAACAATGCAGCTCTATGAGGAAAGTTTAGTGTCTGCATGCAGAGGGAGGAGACTTTGAATGGCAGTGTTGCACACTGCACCTCACTGCCCCAGGAGCACCTCTAATAGCCATCTAAGAAGTGGCCACTGGAGGTATCACTAGGCTGTAATGTAAACACTGCATTTCCTCTGAAAAGACAGTGTTTACTGCAAAAAGCCTGAAGGGAATGATTATACTCACCAGAACAAATACAACAAGCTCTTGTTGTTCTGGTGACTATAGTGTCCCTTTAAGGTTTATTTTACATCTGTACAAATTGAGGGTTACAGATTCAGTCTTTCTGCCTTGTACATGCAGATACAGATGACGATCTGTTGCCCAACTATTCCAGTTAAACCAGTGGAAAGAGTTCAGGAATGCTGCTCCTTTAAAGCTTCATAAACTGGTCTGAGGTCTGGTCTGGTCTTGTGCATGCATCGTTTTATTGCGTTATCTTAAAACGCAACTCACGAAAAATATGCCAAATACATTGTGGCATCACTTTTGATGCACATTCCAGAAAATGGTTAAACCTCAATTGCACGGTTTGAATAAAAAGTGAGCAAACACCGTTTACAGGATTATTTCTGTGACTTTTGGAGATGGGAGAACGTGAATAGTCTGGACACCCTGCTGAACCAGTAATTCTAGGCATCCTGACCCCTGCCAGACAGGTAGCACAACTGGGATTTGGGCCTAAATACCAAAACCAGCACGCTCCGCAGCCTCCGGCTAAGAGTTCCACAGCAGCAATAAGAATGCAGAGTGAGGGCACGTTTAAGCTCCATCACATGACAATGTCACAGCTGGGACCTGAATACCAGCACACCGAGGAGACGTTATTGCATCAACATATCCCAGAGTACCCAAAAATCTCTGGAATTCATAAAGTATTTTATCCACAAAAAAAATAATACACTGAGATTCCATTATTGAGTATGTCCCAGAGAACACGATACAACGTTACACATTCAACACAGGTTATAAACCTTAGTTGCCATAAATGAACTAAATGCATGGATAGATGATTTTTATTACCAAATCAATATTCTTAAGCACTGCCCTTGGAGATTGACAGAATGCGAGAAGTAAAAAGGTGGGGGACAGAATGATTAGCTTGAGATCTGAGTGGGAACCCACCGAAGGGCAGGCTATTTGACCTGATGTCCGTTCTCAGTATTCTCTTGCACCTTGTTTTTTGCTCTCGGCAGAACGGTTAGCCTTGAGATAAAACTCTTCGCTCTCCTGGGGAGCAGGAATTTCAAAAAGCAGGAAGACGTCCAAGAAATTTTTTTTAAAATAAATAAATAAAAATCTCTGAACAGCAATTGGTGCAAGATCATGATGCCAAACAATATGAAAAAGGCATGTTTGAATGTCACCTGCATTTATACATATAATATACATTATAGTTATCGCGTCTAACAAACAATGGTATTTGTACACAGGAAAATAATTAAGAGAATGGGAAGTCATTGTGCCAAGACAAATTTCTGCCAGTATCCTTGCCTAACCTTCCCCCAATTCTTCTCCTGATCAGAATAGGAATATATACATCGTCCCTTGGGATTTGTGGTGCAGTTCCCATTTAATTCACAAACAAAGTATGAACTCTCCTGACAGTTACTGCTTCCGGCTCCCCTGGTATAATGGGTTTGGCAATAAATCTTAATAGTTTGGTTAGTTCAAGGCAGGATACAATATGACCACTCTGAATATCCACTAATTCTCTGACCTTTCTCCACCATGTGGTATGAAGCAGGCCTGCTTGGGGGTCTAGATTCTGGAATCTTAAGACTCTTAATCTGAGGAATTCATAGCCCTTGAAGACACTGGGAGGAGCACCTTGGACAGTAGCCCTAGCTTTTTAGAGGAGATCAGAGCTACCTCCAGAATCATTACAGCACTTTCAATTTTATCCTTGTGTTTGTAGCAGGTTAATGTATTGCAAGAACATTAAAGGAACACCATATTCTCAAGAATACAAACAGGTATTCCTGACACTTTAGTCCTTGAGTGGCTGTTTAGGTGAATGTCCCATCCAGTTGCAGTAAATAGGGGATTTTACTCACCTTTTCTCCCATGCCCTTCCTAGTCCCACCTATGCCGCTGATATCAATTTTGATGATCTCAGCCAATCCAATGCTTTCCCTGTGAAGAGATGCGCCAATCAGCATCTCTTCACAGGGATGGATTACCATGCATCTCTATAGGGAATGTTCAGAGTCTCCATTCAGAGCGTGGAGATGCTGAACGCTAGTACTGCACACTGTGCAGCACTTACACAGGAAGTACCTCTACTGGTCGTCTGAGTGACTGCTACTGGAGGTGTCCTTAGGGAGCAATGTAAACACTGCCTTTTCTTTGAAAAGCCTGCATGGACATACTATACAGACCAGAACAACCACAATAAGCTGTAATGGTTCTGGTGACTATAGTATATATATATAGAATAGCTCTTTAAACAAACCTCTCCTGACAATTAGTACCTTAAAACTACCGACACCTCTATGCACCTGGCAATTCCAGTTTTTAGATGAGCAAGTTGATGTAATATTTCTCTTTTCGTGATTTAAGGGAAAATAAAATCCATGCACCAAACCACTTCCTTCTTATCACTTGCTGCCACTTATAGTTGGCAAGGACCAAGTACACCAGAAGTGTAAATAGTAAATACCATCTGGTTGCCTCAACCACACATTTTTTGGCTGATCGCCCACAAATACACCTGCATCCTATTCATTAACCATTAAAATAAAATTTAAAGTCACATTACTAATACTGGCTGAGAGCTATGGGAGTTATAGTCCAGCAACTACTGTGGAGCTGCTGGTTCATCGTAAAACTGACTTTACATGATGGTATATATATATATATATATATATATATATATATATATATATATATATCACAATATATTTTTTATGAAAGGAAGCAATAAGTTTAAGGCATTAGCAGTATCCCTGTGGGACCACTTCTGCCTTCCCGTAAAATCTAGTATACGTAATTGGCAGATAGCAAGCACAGGGAGCAAAAAGGTAGAACCACCTTTCCAGCTATTTGACAAAGCATTATGGGGGTTGTAGTTCTGCAGGTCCAGTTTCACAACACTTCAGCTATTGTGATGTCAGGCCTTGAGGGATTCCAAAGAATTTCTGAACTAATTACTGGCACAGTTCTGCAACTGCAGCAATCTGCAAATGCCAAGCTCAGTAAATCGTTCTGTGTTTTCGTGCCAAGCTGCTAGCACCCCACTTCCCGTCTCCCAATCAAAACTCCTACTGTGAAAACAATGCGGATCCTACACCTGTTAGAACAGTACATATATTCCAGAGAGCCACGGGAACTGGAAAAATATCATGCAGGCAGATTACAGGAGAGGATCTAGACCTGCAGGTCACACGTGTAGACACACACTCGCTGTTAACTCCTTCAATGCCATGCACTGCGAGGGTTTTCATAGAGTATGTAGAATTACATAAAAATAGAACCTGCCTTAGAAATATTACAAAAATAGAGAAAAAACCCTAAAACATAAAAAAATAAAATAAAACACACAAACAGATTGTCTTAGTTTCCTACCACATTCTTGTATTCTAAAGCAAGAACTGTGAAGCCTTTGCGTTTTGAAGAGCGGTTAAAGCTGTAGAACCAGTCTAGCTCCACAATCAGATTTTAAAACTGGTAGACACATTAAAACATAAGTCCACTCAGATAAAACACACACACACACACACACACACAAAAGAGAAAATACACTGGCTTATACTCGTTTTCCTATGCTCAAAAACATTTCACACTTGAAAAGGCAGGGATGATCAAGGTTCAACTATACTGCCATTCAGAATCTAGAAAAAGAAACAAAAAAAATATAACATTTTGCATAGAAAGTATGCAAAAAAAAAAGTGTTAGTTTTGTTTGTTTTACATTTTTTTAAAACAGACAGCCAAACGCCTATATTAATTCTCGGTGTCTCCGTTACAAAAAAATAAAAATAAAAAATAAAAAAACACAACCCATTTATCTTTTCTTTTTGGGAAAAGAAATAACTGTTTGGAACCCAGAAAGAATATAGCAAGTGATTACCTTTTAACGAAGTCAGAAGATGAATCTGGTGGCAAACCCTAAGACAGAATTCAGAGGTTCCGCTGCACAGATAGGGTCCTGTGGGTGCAGCATGATCCTAAATTTCTCCCAGCCTGGGTTTCAGATGTTTTCCCCATGTGATTATCAGGAAGTAATGCCCTGAGTCAAACTGAGAACCGTTTGCAGAGTACTGGACACAGAAGGAACACCCTCCAGGCGGAGACTCACAGGGCATTCATAAAGTGTGTAAAGGAAGCAGCTCCTCTGGGGCTACAGAACAGGTTAACAGTAGATGTCGCTCCCCTAATAAACAGACACTGAATATATTAATGCAGTGATCTAAGATCCACAACACTGCATCCCCATCAATCACAGCCAGCCTACAAAATGGGAATAGTAGTTTCTGGTATTAATTAAAATGTTTTCTACGGTTTTATGTTGTACATTTAATGGAAGGGGCACAGGAGACACTCTCAAACCATTATTCGGTAAACTGAGGAAAGTGGAGAAATGAGACAGAATTGCAAATTTTACAACAAATTAACCGAGCTTGAAAAACAGATGAGCTGTTGAATTTTTCAATTAATTTGGCTTAAAAATTGCAATTATTTTTTTACAAATTATTCTCAAGTCTACACAATTCCAGATTTAGTACATAAAGAGCATTTTTGGAGAGTGACAGAGTACACAGGGCTTGGCACAGGGTTTTATTGACTAAACAAAGAACTGTAAAGAACTGAAAAATTAAATGAAAAATTTAGAGGATATAGCAGATTTGGAACAATTGTCCAACTCGGCAATAGTGACAACTTGGCTATTTACCGGTAAACTCAGATTCCAATTCAATGTGCCACTAACTCAAACTTGGCTAAACATTTCCACTTACAAGTGAAAATGAAGAGCTGGTCAGTAGATATTCACACCTGGAGGATATACTCTGACTTGAAGTGGCAAGTGATTTTTAAGACCTGGCTAGCAGCACACGATTCAAAATTTTAAACCCTGCAATTAAACATAAGGTTGAAAGGAACTAAAAATGAAATGACAAATTTAAGTCTAAAACAGCCAGGAATTGACTTTTGACAGTTGAATAAAAAATTCCAGATCAGAACTTTCAGCTTAAATTTTGTTTCTAAATTCACTGTATTGTAATGTTTAGTGAATACGCCCCTGTTTAGCTAATTATTGCTGTAGGAGATTCAACAGGGAAAAAAAATAGAGAAGTTAACAGAGAAGCCCTGTCCTACCTCATTGATGACCTGTTCTAATTGTGAGACGCAAGGGTTAATAATTTTGTACTCCACTCCCAACACAGGCCTATTCAAATAGTATTTAACTTACAAGCTGCTAATTATTAACCTGGCAACTAGTAAGTAGAGGTCAGTGGGTGAAAGACAATATAATAAATGTCTACATTAGTACAATCACCGACCTGTAACATTACCTGTTCATACTTTTATTAATAGTATATTTATTTATAGACCGACTTCCCTAACACAATAAACACAGACAAGGTTATTGACTAAAAGTGAGAATTCAAATTGAGTTTAAAGAGAATTTCAAATGTAAGGTTAAAATAGCCGAAATGGAAAAATTATCTAACTCCGCTATGCTCTCCGTTCAGCTGCTCTGGCCTTTAAATTTCAAATTCGCTTTGAATCCTCACTTAAAATAACCCTGGAAGTTGTACAATGTACAAATGATTATTAAAATGTTACATATTTGGACATTAAGAGAAAAGGACCCTGCTTATAGGAGTTTACATATGAAGGGTTAATGATTTAATATATTCAGCGTTAACTGAATCAGTGATGATGGAGAGTAGATAGGTAACGTTTATGAAAAAATAGATGAACTGGGAAAATTCGACAAATCAACTAACTTACTGTGATGAATCCACCCACGTGTGTGAGCCAATCACCAGGGAAATTTACAAAATTAAAATCTATAATATCAGGAAATAGATGTATCTCTATGAATCTGTATGTTTTAGCAGCAGTACATTTTTGGTGTTTTGTTAATACCTGCGTCATGTTCTGACAGGCGGCGCTGATTCATGTAGAGTCTACTGCGATTTTTGAAGGGTTTCTCTGTGCACCATCAGCACTTCAGTGATTTGAAGTGGTCATGGTACCTGCAGTCTGCATGTGCAGTGTTTCGTGACTTGCAGATTAACCCCTCTGCTGCTGGAGCTGTAACTCCACCTCCGGCAGGGTCATTAGAGTGTCATCAGACAGCCTGAAACTAGAGCTCTGTGCTGGCTAATGTGAATTATTGCAGCTATCATTGCACAGAATGACAGTCAATGGCTGAGAGATGTCAGATGATGCTCTCAGTGTGGCTTCCGGCTTCTGCAGCTCCACAAAAGCACGTCACAGGACCACCAGAAACCTGGATAAGGGGGCAAATCATTTCTAAATGATTTACTCCATTATTGGGCAACTGGCCCAGGCTACTCCTTACTTTTTTCAGCGGGCTGTAGTGGTTATGGTGTTTGGAGTAACCCTTTGCTTGAGAGGTCTCAGTCACACATTCTAGGTTATATGGTAAATTCTGAATGCAGAAAATTAAAATCCAAATTCAAAGTGTAGGCAGATCAGCAATTTAGGTGTAGAGTTTGCCATTCAGATTTGTTACAATTCAGAGTTTAATGAATAAAACCCCAGGGTAAAAAAAAATAATGCAGGAACATTCCAGTGGTTTCCATGGTGACCACTTTTAGAGCCATGTCCCAGATTTACTATTTCTACACAAATATCCACATATTCCTGTAAGGCAAACATTTCATCTGAGTGGTTTTATGGACAATGTAAAGGGCTCTGCTGCAATATAATCTGACCAAAGCACCACTCCTGCTTCAGCGCTAAAATCAAAATTAAAAAAACAAAACATATTGTTTGTGGTCTAATCCATATAAACAGAGAGGAAATGTAACTGATCTCTTGAAAAAAAGAATACTTGGATTATCCTCTGACCCCACCAAATATTTAGAAAACAAAACAAAATGTTAACGAGGGCACTCAGCATGTAACCCATCTCCCCATATGAGTAATAATTAGGGGGGAGAAATGAATACCCCTACCCCATTTCCCCAGTGGGCTCTTAGTATATTGGATATATGGATGGCTGGAGGATTCTAGAGCCCCTATCTAATATATATGAAGGAACCAGGACATGACCAGACCCATGTCTCTATACTTTTGGATCAAGTGGTCCCTAATCCTCTGATCTCTATAATGCAACCCCCTACCTTAATAAATCACCAGAGTCCTTTTTTGTTTAAAATGTTTTTGATGCATTTGGCTCTGGTTGTGGTAAACTTGAAAATCTCTTTCTCAAGCTTTGGCTAGTTTTGGTTTATATATTGCTACTTCTGTTACAATGTCTGATCTTATATACAGCTATTCACAATGTATCAATGGGCATGCCTCGACCCCACCACACGACCACACGAATATACACACTTCGGACCAGCAGACTTGGGATCCTCCCCTCTTCCTTTATTTTAGAAATAGTAGGAAGAAAGGACATTCATGAACTCAACCCTTCACTTCCAAACACACAAGATGGAGGGAAAATTGGCTCTCTTTAGTTAGAAGATTATTCTAAGGCAGGAAGAGGCAACCTTGGCACTTCAGAGTTGTGGACTACGCCTCTCTTGATGCTTTGCCAGCATTATGGCTGAAAGAGCATTATGAGAGATATAGTCCACAACATCTGAAGTGCCGACGGTTGCCTACCACATTTCTAGGGAGCCCCACTGTGCTTTGGCTACAGACAGCAGAGTCTAACCATGGCTAATAATTGCTTAATTTAGTTTTTTTTTTTTTTTTTTTGGTCTATCGTTCACCATTCACAGCTTACTCACTCAGTAACCCACAAGCTCCTGATGACTCTTCTTACGTAATACAAAGATTACAACATGATGGGCACAGATTATAGCACTTGGCACATTGATATTGTTTTAACCTTTGCAGACAGGAACAAAGTAACAGAAATGTATCGTAGAAGAACCTTACCGGAAAAAATGCTTGAAGAAGATAAAATTGATTTGAGTGCTTCTTACATCCTTCTGACACTCTACTGGTTAAACCATTTTGGGCATTGCAATATATTTTAATGACAAAGAATATGCTCAAGGAATCAAACAGAGCAAACGTATCATATTATTTAAATATCTGAAAGGTATTCTTGAAAGAATAAAATGCAATATTGATGACTGATTCTACATTCTGAGCGTTTATAACTGCACCAAACATGACCCGTGTTTAATTTTTCCCCCGGTTACTAGCACAGCCCCCAAAAACCACGCCGTGATGCGTTTCACTACACAGAGACAGTTATCTAATTCTTTAGGAGCTGTCACTGCAGCAGGTGATGGGTTAAAGGCCTTTAGCAGATAAAGAGGGATAGGTCCTGCTGAGACAATCTCATAATCTGAGTGAGATGTTCCTTAATGGTCTGTTACTTAAATAGCAAAAGCCTCAATGGGAGATTAGCTGCACTAGTAGATGCAAACTGAGAGATAAAGTGAGAGAGAGGGGGTTGGGTGCTCACAAGGTGTACAAACAAACTACTACTATACAGCCGTATGCAAATACCTATTCGTGGGGGTATACTGTTATCCAAATAAGGGTGTGTTTGCCTGTCATGTCTCTTACAATAGGTCTGGTCATTTAACATAACCATGTTCCGACAACAAAAGTTTACACACTTATACATATGCTTTACAAAGGCCCATTGCACATTCCTGCCAAATTTTATCACCTACCATAAACTGAGTCAACATGATCTGTAAAGATGCTCTAAGTCTAAGCCCTCCAAGCACCTACAACTGTAAGTATTCTCTGGCATTCAGATGTTTCGTAACCCTCTATATTATTATTGTTGTTGTTGTTGGCAAATTGACCTGTGCCCCTTTCTGTATACTGAATATTTTTTGATATATCATATTATTCCACTGCAATAAAACTTACAGGGTGCACGAGTGTATCACAGAGCTCTTTAGCAATATCACTTACTGATATCTGCGCTCCTTTTATGTTGATATAAATACACATGCCCTCAATGCATTATGGGTGTCATGGTAATTTGCACCATATGCCAGACTGTGCCAAAACAGCATGGTATACGATGTAAAATAATTAAGCTTGAGAAAGGTCCCATAGAGGACTAAAACGTAAACACATTTTCTGGTGTGTGATTGCACAATAAAGCTTCAAGATTTATGTACAAAGTCCTGTGAGTGCACCGTCCTTGATACTTATATTTTGGCATTATTGATTTACACCCAGACAAGGACAAGACCAGGAGAGTGAGTGCTGGGTCCACGTGCATTTATATACATATATACGCTTCTTAAGAACAAATGCTTTTTTTAAATGTATTTCCTAAAGTGAGAATTTTCATAAACCAAAGAAGAAAAAAAACTAAATATCAAAGTGACAGGTTTTCTTTCAACCCCTGCATGCATGGATCTCTGAAATTAGTGTTATAAGTTTTTTAAATTTAATTTTGTTCATTCTTTGTGTTATTTAGGTTCACATGTCGTCACCTATTACAAAAGACAACTGTTCAAAAAAGACGTTTTATGAGCATTGACAAGAAAATCGGAAACATATAATTCAACTAAGAACAATTGAAATCAGTAACTAAACCCAAAAGTAAAGAGAAAAAGCCAACCACCGCAAGTCTTTTTTCATAATTGTTAAAGGTTTAAAGGGGCACTATGGGCAACCTGACCACTTCAGATCATTGAAATGGTCTGGATTCAGTGCCCCAGGACCATTAAAGGGACACTATAGTCATGAGAACAACTACAGCTTATTTAATTTGTTCTGGTGAGTAGAATCATTCCCTTCAGGCTTTTTGCAATAAACACTGTCTTGTGCGGGATAACTCCAGTGGCCATTCCTTAGATGGCTGTTAGAGGTGCTTCCTGGGGCAATGATGCACAGTGTGCAGCACTGCCATTCAAAGTCTCCTCCCTCTGCATGCAGACACTAAACTTTCCTCATAGAGATGAATTGTTCCAATTCATCTCTATGAGAAGATGCTGATTGGCCAGGGCTATGTTTAGCTTGTGCTGACTCTGCCCCTGCTCTGCCTCTTTGACAGTCTCAGTAAATCCTATTGGAAAGCATTTCAAAACAACACTTCTGATGATATCAGTCAAGCAGGAAGATCAGGGGCAGATCCAGCAGCTGCAGACTTGAATAGAAGTAAGATTTGACTATATTTAGGGAGTAAGGGGGGGGCAGTGGTTTTATCACTATAGGGTCAGGAATACGTTTGTGTTTATGACCCTATAGTGTTCCTTTAAATTCCTTATTTATTTATTTTTGTGAATAACATTTTTATTGGTTGCCAGAGATCAATCAGTCGCAGTTCAAATAAGTTTCTTCAGTAATAAATTATTTAATTTATTATTGAAACCACTAACTGAACCAAAAAGAAAAGAAAAAAATATTAATCAAGAAATCCAACCATTGCGAGTCCTTGTTAATGTGTAATAGGTTTAACAGGTAATTCTGTGTGAGACCATTTATGCAAATCTTTTGAATAAACACTTTGAAATATACGTGAAAACGTAAAATATAAGGAAGATATTTTACAAATACGTCTCTGCAGTGTGTTTATTTTCAATTATATCTCTAAGTACCAGGGGGAATCAAGCCATATCAATACATAAAATTTCCAAATGTAAAAAATGCCAGAGCAAGCGGGGTTAACCCACTTCTATAGAGAGGAGAATTTTTGCAAGGTCTGCCAAAAACACAGCACTGAATTTGAAATGCAGCGGCAGGAGTGAGTTAGAGTTACCGGATAATAGGCATGTTTCTATAAGAGGTGTGTATTTAAGGATTATAATACTAGAGCGCTTGGGTGTGCCCGCTGGAGACAAGCAGAACGTCCCAAATATAAGGAGCGCCACATGAGAAATTTTATTAACACGAAAAAAGAGGTGGATGGGGGATAAATAGAAGAGAAGCTGTCAGCGCATGTAACTTTAAGTTAAAGTTTTTTGGGGTGAAATTAGGAATTGCAGACCAAACTAGCTGAGCTGGACACGTATCTGTGTTGGATAACTATTCCAGTTTAGCTAGTTTGGTCTGAAAATGAAACAGTAAACAGGGGAGCTGCAAGAAAATGATACAGTAGAAAAATATACCCATCAAGGTATCTGGCTTATTATTGTCCTTTGGACTGAGGGAACCTTAATGTCTCGACAGAAACACATATGCTCAGATAATGTAACAGTAAGCAGCTGATGTTAAAGACACAAGTGGTAACATTCTCTGTTAAGTACTTTATATTACGTAAAACACTTGCGGTAACATATGTGTAAGAAATATCATACACATACAAGTTCTATGAATCTTAGTATGTCAACCTGTGGTATGCATACCCCAGGGGGTACACGCATTACAGGCAGAGGGTACGCCACGAGCCTCCCCACCCCCCCCATAACTTCTGGGAGGTGGTCGGCTGTACTCTTTATGATGTTCCAGCACTACTCACTCGCGTGCCTTGCGGTGATGCCTGGAGCAGGGGTATGATGTCACTCCAGCATCACTAAACAGCGTATTAGGGAGCGGTGCTGGGAGAGCAGGAAGATTATTCAAGCCCTACACAGGACGCCAGGGAAAGGATCCCCTCCAGCTTTTAGTAGGTGAACTTAAAAAAATAATAATAATAATTTGTGAGTGTGTATGAGAGAACGTGTATGTGTCTGTCATTGAATGTGTGTGTCTATCAGTGTGTGTCAAACCAGTGAGAGTGTTCTGTCTGTGTAAGTGTGTCAGTTTCCTCTATTTGTAAATATGTGTGTCAGTGCCCACTGTGTGTAAATGTGTTTGACAGTGTAAATGTGTGTGTGTTTGTGTCAGTGTCCTCTGTGTTTAACTGTGTGTGTCAGTGTCCTCTGTGTGTAACTATTATGTGTGTATTATAATTTCATGGATGCCTCCTTATTTACTCAATATTCACATTATGTCATATTTATTGTATAAATATTCTTTACTACCTTTAAATCAGGATTGATCTCCAATATGGGAATGACTTTAATACTAATGTCTACACTTTTCATGTGGAATTGAAATCAATATAAATTACTTTCTTCAGGTAGGGGAACTTCTCCGTAAAAGGTTGAGAAATTGCTATAATTCCTTTTTCCCACAAGAGGGTGGTGTCACAGCTCATGAACCACAATATAACACCATATGTTGTTAACTTTTATTTGTCCTGTAATATTAGCATTATAATTTTCATTATAACCATTATAAAAATCATCATCAAATTGTAATAAAATTTAATTTAATGTGCTCATAGCAACACAGAGGCTGAATGTATAACACCAACCAGAATGTAAGTCACTTTTTAAAAAGAACTGGACCAGCTTTAGTGGTTATGGTATCTCTGACACTATAGTTAAACTAGCTATTTAGGTGTGTGTCCCCACTCTTGCATCACATGGGAAATGTGATTTTACTCACCTTTTCTGCCACGTTGTGCCGGTCTCACCGTGGCTGGCTTTGCCTTCATGGCTGAAATCATCAAACTTGATAATCTTGGCGATTGCAATGCTTTCCCATAGGAAACATTGAGAGGCTATTCCACATGTGTGGTAAAACACTGTGCTGTGCCAATCAACATCTCCAGAGATGCATTGAATCAGTGCATCTCTATGGAGAACATTCAGCACCTCCATGGGCTTGGATTAACCTCTAGTGGTCGTCTGAGTGGCTGCTACTAGAGGTGTTACTAATCAGTAATGTAAACACTGCTAAAACTGCAGGAACAGGATATAGACACAGGCCAGATTAGCTGAACTGAATGCATAGCTGTTAGAATTTTTCCATTTCAGCTACTTTTAATTTATATTTTAAATTCAATTTCTTTAGTGAATAACCTTGTTTATGTCACGCCCCCCCCCAAGTAAAAACCAACGCAAACTCTTTGTCTTTATCAATGGTGCAAATGAGCAGTTTATTTACAGCTTTGAATACCCAGCGGTCAATCCACATGACTTGGCTCACAGGAGTATGAGACTTGATTAAAGTGCAGTGAAGGACAATTTTGGTTTGGGAGGAGAGTGTTTAGATGTCTTTGTGTCAAACATGGTAAATCTCCTTTGTTATAGATGCATTGACCCTGAACAAGACCAGTAATGCTCAGGAAGCCCCCTGAACACACACTGTGCCCCCTCCTTCATCTCCTCCTACTTTCTACATTCACCAACTCACAAGCCACTGGCTACAAATCAACTAGCCTCCCCCTTCTTCCCTCACCTACATTCCTCTGCACCAGGAATGCAGACAAGACAACTGTGTTACTGAATCAAGATGAACACCTCAATTATCAGACCAAACAATTCAAACCATTCATTAAGACTATCTTCCCTCCCCCCCCCCAATCAGGGATAATCACCAAACTGATAACATCAAGAGGATTGCAGGAAAGTTGCATGTTTTAGACCACAATTGCAGATTTTGATACTTTTTTTCCACCCTGACTATTTTTGGCAAAAAATTTGCAATCCAGTGTAGAACCCGTATAGGTTATATTTGTTAATGTACATATTGATTTTCTTTACAAATTCTGTGCGGAAACCTGCACTTTGTGAATATTTTTTCTTTTCTATTTAGTTTTCTCTCGTAGATATCGTTCTGAACCAACTATAACATGTCTAGTAATATTTATAGTATAAGTATTGTTCTAATTATTTGTTAAAAATTAGTTAATACTGTTTAAGTTATTTGTTCTTACAATTCGTCTTCGTTTTGTCAATTGCAATATTCCATATGGTGTGAGAATGTTACCAAAACATCCACTATACTTCTGTTATTTAACCCCTTAAGGACACATGAAATATTCCGTCATTATTCCCTTTTATTCCAGAAGTTGTTAAAAGAAGTTAAAACAATAAAATGTTTAGGGGAAAAAAATTGCAATGAAATTATATTTTGCATTAATACCTTCATCATGCTTGGGATCTGGATACTCCAAGCTAGAAATCTGTTCTTCATCTCCTGAAGGTTTCAAACATGTCTCTCTGGTTTTGTCTTCTTCTGAACACCATTCATTGCTTCCAACTGACTGCGGCCTAGAACATAGGCGTTCATCATCGCAAATATCTCCTTCCATTTCCAAAGTCTGTTCGTAAGCTGTTGAAAACATTCCTTTTCCTTGTAACAAATTATGTAGCTGTAAGACGTTTTCAGATACAATCAGCGGTTACCCTACAAAATAAACATAATATCACAGTTACTTGGTGATCTTCTAATAACGTTGATCAGGTCCACCAGCTGGAATTATCTGCACAAACATATCGGCAAACAAAGCCTTTTTTTCTACTGCCTATTCCGTAAAGGTTAGTTAATCACTGGAGCATATCTTGGAGAGATGGATGCAATAACTATTGAGATTAATCTTAACTGTATCAATATAATTTAAGGCACTAATAGGTTTAGGTTTCAAAGGAATTTATTAAAAATTATGGCATAACAGGCACAAAAATAACATCCATAAATTCCGCAATGTACAAAACAATGTCATGATCTGAACTTTGATCTTTTTGATTGACAGAAAGACAAGTGTTGCTCACTTAATGTAGCTACACAGCAAGCTTGTGAAACAGCTCGACATGCATTGATATTCAGACTGTCACCAAAAAAACTTTACCTATACATTTTTTAGTTGACAGCCAACCAGAAGAGCCACCAGATTTGCTTCCTGATGTTTCACGGAGCATGACTCTGTGAAACCACGCTCAATGTCCTCACACTGTGCATGAGGACATCCTGCCTCTTCAAATCCCCCATAGGAAAGCATTGTTTTAATGCTTTCCTATAGGGAAAGACCAATGTACATGCGCGGTACTCGAAGCACATATGCATTAGGTTCCTACCGTTTGCCAATGCTGGAGATGGAGCCAGCATGTAGGGACCCTTCCAACACCGGGGAGGGTGTGGAAAATCACCTTAGTTCATAGGGACACTATAGTGTTAGGAATACAGCCCCTAGGCCCCCATATTAGCTTTTTAAAAATTCTGGGCACCGCCATCTTTGTGTAGGTTGATGAAGGCCCTGTGGGACACGTCATCTGCCCACACTAGATAGCGCTGTGAAATTCCAGTTAAAGGACCACTAAAGTGCCAGGAAAACATACTTGTTTTCCTGGCTCTATAGGGTCCTTGGGTCCCCCTCGCTCTCTGGGTCCCCCTCCCGCCGGGCTCTAGGGTGAGGAAGGGGTTAATTTCTTACCTTTTTCTAGTGCCTGGCTCCCTCGGTGCTGGGGAATCTCCTCTTTCTTCTGTCGTCATTGGCTGAATGCGCATGCGTGGCAAGAGCCACGCGCGCATTCAGCCAGTCTCATAGGAAAGCATTCTCAATGCTTTCTATGGACGCTGGTGTCTTCTCACTGTGAAAATCAATGAGAGGCTGGATTAACCCATTTGTAAACAGCAGAAAGGGTTAATCCTAGCTGGACCTAGCACCCAGACCACTTCATTAAGCTGAAGTGGTGTGGGTGCCTATAGTGGTCCTTTAAACACTTGGGCAATCGCTATTGTTCCGAAAATCGGACAGGAATTTTGTCTATTCATTAATTAGTCAGAAAGACGAATGAATGAATAGAAATGTCAGACGAACACACAAACACTGTATATCAGTGTTCGTTTGTTCGTTCAGTTTATTACAAGGAGGGAGCTACCAGCGCGCAGCTGCCTCCTTGTAATATGTAAAGATAGAAGCGGCACCACTTCCCCACCACTTCCTAAGCCCCCTCATGTCCTCCATTAGTCTATTGGGGTCAATATGACCCCCATATTAGCCTGTGGCTGCTTACTGTTAAAAAACACCCTGACCGGTAGGTGGGGGACCTAAATGAAAATGGGGGGGGGACCTAGTGTCCTCCCCCCGGCTCCCACCCATGAGTGGCGGATGGGGGCCCTAAATTACAATAAAGGTGGGGACCTATTGTCCTCCGCCCTGGCCCCCACCCATGAGCGACGGGTGGGGGCCCTAAATGAAAATAGGGGGGGAGGACCTATTGTCCTCCCCTGTGGCCCCCACCCATGTCTTTTTTCTACAACCTTATTTTTTCAGCCCCCAAAAAGGCCAAATAAAAAACCATAATACCCGTCGAACTTCCAAAGAACTTTCCCACGCTGTGTAAAATGACTCAGAGCATTCTGATTGGTTGCTGTGACAGATAAATGTAGAGATTTATCATTAACCTGTCAGAGCACTCTCATTGGCTGGCTTAAACCAACAAATCAGAGCGCTCTGAGCCAAATTGCAGAGCGTGGGAAGGCTTTATAAGCCTTTTCCCGTCCTGCAGAGCTCAGTCTGTGTACGGTGCTGGGTGAAGATCGAATATTGTTTTAGTGTCATTTTGTTATTGAGCTCAGGTTTTGTTTCTTTTATAAGTTTGACGAGTATTATGGAGTTTTAGAAAAAAGTTTACTTTACAGGTATTTAGTTTTATTGTCTACCCCCTCACTATTTTTTGGGCGAGGGGGGTAGGTAGGGCTTTATTTAATTTTATTTGGGTTGGGGGGGTGACTAGGGTCTTGGGGACGCCTAGTTACCTGGGGGGGAGTATTTAGGTCCCCCCTTTATTGTAATTTATGGCCATGAGCAGCGGGTGGAGGCCAAGGGGGACCCCATGTCCCCCGTTTAGTTGAACAGACCCCACTCGCGCGGGCTAGTTAAGAGATGCCCCACCATGGGTTCATTTATTCGGCGGGGGGTGTTCATATATTTTGACAACAGTGAGCCACAGGCTGCTCACTGCTTACTAGACATGCCCCTACTCGTAATATAGCAAGTAGGGGCAGATTAATTACTAATACTAAGTCATTTTCAGCCTTTTGTTAGACAGCTCCCTAATAAAGTGGGAATTAGGGAGCTATCTACTAAGCAGCTGCCAGATGCAGCCGCAGCACGGATTGGAATTTCATTTATTTTAATGAAATTTCGAACCGACCTAAAATTACCGATTGTCATCCTAACATGAATGAACAAACTATTCTCATTCTGTTAGGACGAAATTCGGTAGTTTCACCGGTGTTCTGTCTAAATGACAGGTCGTTCAGGAATAGTGAAAGGAGGCATTGCGAGATCACGAGGAAAGGTAAGCATTGTGGGAATATTTCTCTGACCACAGGAAATGGAGCACACTTTGCTCCTCCGCTGGTCATAGATGGTCAGGCGTAGGAAATATACAGAGGACAAAACAGTCCCTACTTTGTCTTATGTTTTAAAGAAAACAGACAGGAAGAAATGAAGAACAGATCCTGAGAGAGGAAGAGAAGAGGATGCGATTAGGGAAAAGTATGTACGGTATGACAGTGCCGGTTTAAGAAAAATACCATATCACCAGTTAAATGTAATTAAATGCATCTGCAACTAGCACTGTATTTGTAACAATCGTTTTAGGGATATCTAATTTACAACTTAGGGACTTTCATACTTCTGTCATCAGTGATTACATCAGAGGCAGGTAGGGAAAAACCAGCATATTTTATTTATTACTGTGCATCACTCAAAAAAAGTTTTAAAAGTAAAGTGAAAGTAAAAAAAAAAAAAAAAAAATGAGAGGAAGGATACATGCTTGCTAGAGACCAAAAGTAAGTTTGTAGATTTCCAAACATTTGGAGGTTCTACACCATGGGTGCCCAACAGGTAGACCCCAAGTTGTTTTAAAACTAAAGCTTCCATGATGCTTTGTCATTCTAACAGCCTGCAAAGCATCATGGAAGTTGTAGTTCTGCCACACCTGAGGATCTACCTTTTGGGCACCCCTGTTCTAGACACATTTCCTCTCTGGTCCATGAAGGTGATACAATGTGCTTGCTCTAGTAGAAACAGTAATGCTGCCTCCATAAAGTAACATTATTTCATCTGCTATTCTTCTGGGCAAAATAGCTACATTGTGGAGATAAGTACTTCTGTATGAAACAGCATATCATCTGGAAATGTCAGAGGGAAAAAAAAATTCTGGAAATTTGCCATTAACAGGTATTGTGAAACACTAATTTATCGAGTTAAACACACATTTCTGGAATTCTGTGTTTATTCCCACATTAACCTAAGGAAATGATGCATTCAATTAATTATATACAGAACAGCTTTACAAACACCAGGACCCACATAGTCATGACTACAAATATTTATCTGCTGTCTCAAAAAAAGTGCGTGATGGGCATTTATGGGAGGCAATCAAACAGATCTGTTATCAAATACACCATATGTTTTTAGATGGGTTTTTTTTTGTCAATCATATTTTATTGAGTGGTAAGCATACATAAACCAAATTTGTCAAACCACATGTTAAAAATAACAAAGTTGTATGACAGGGAGCAAAAACAAAATAAAATATATAGAAAAGTTATATGATCACACACAGGAGGCTGCTGCAGGGTCTACCAGGCAAATAAAAGGAGATAGTAGCTTATAAATTAAACACACTATGCAATAAGGCAAGCTAAAAAAAAATAATAATTAGATCTTTTTGTTTACGAAGGCTGTGTGCGTCTCAGCCAGGGGAGGTTTGACTGGGGCTGTATAAACAAAGTGATTTATCTCCTAAATGTACCAGTAAAATACACACAATGGACATCAAATGGGCCTACAAGAAGATGTATGACCATAAAAGAAACACTGAAACATAAAAGAACATTAACTGTGAGATTCCAAGAGATACCATGATTTGGTTGTTCACTAAACCTAGAATTGTGGGGTATTAAAGAAAAACTATTGCAGGTTCTAGGCTAAAAGAGATACTTTTGACTATTTTGGCCAAAGAGTTGCAATTCCATGGTCATTTCCCAACAATTTCCTCTTTAAAGAATAACTCTGTCAATTTTCCATGAAATCTGCCCACTTCTACAAGAGATTACCAAATAAACCACAACAAACCAGGTTACCATTTTATGAAGAAAAGAAGACAAAGACTACTTTAAAAAAAAAGTCTTGGAACATGCTGTGATAAAATATCTTGTTTCTGAGAAAAACATGGGAATTATTTTGCTGTTATAAACAGAGGATAAAGTGAAAGGGATGACTCTGCTCAGTGATATTATTAGATATACAATGTTTATACGACTGACAGACACTTAGCACGCAGGAGGAAATCTGAAAGGCCCTCGGAATGCTCTAGATATGGTCAAACA